TGGGCTTGGACAGCAGCAGCAGCAGCAGCAGCAGCGACTGAAAGGCTAATTAATATGCGAATACAGACAGAAGCCAACAACCAATTGATAAGCAATGCGAGACTTGCACACAGAGTGAGAGAGAGAGAGAGCGAGAGTGGGAGCGAGAGAGAGAGAGAGAGTATGTGCCCAATGCATTGCACATGCGCCAAAAGTGAGCAAGAAATTTCAAGGTTAAAGTGCAACGAAACCGCAACAATACTTTTACACAACCCTCTGCATCGGCAGCTGCTGAGGGGTTGGGTTCGCTCTCAGTTATAGATACATTTTTTGTATACTCTTTTCTGTTTGACTTCCTCTTGTTTTTGTTTTTTTGTTTTTGATTGTATGCATATGCATCTTGGTGTTTGTTTAGCGAATTGCAATTAGCATAAATTGCTGGCCTTGAATTGTAAATATTAATTTCAAGCTGCTTCGCTCTTTATTAGATAACAAACATGTGTGAGTGTGAGTGTGTGTGTGCACAAAAGATACTCGCTTTGAGATACATTTACATAGATGCATATAGAAATTCGTTGCATTCTATTCGCATGCACATTCTCGACTTGTGACTCAAGGTTATGATGATGCTGATGCTCACTGACTGACTGACTGACTGCAAGTGCCTCCGCCTCTAGTGCTTCCCTCTCACACACACACACACACACACACACACTCACACGCAGGCAGACTGTTAAAAAAGCTTTGGCAATTACACACACAGAGATATTCTAGTTAGCTTAGCACACAATTTTATTTTATCAGCTGAATGCACAGCCCCCAATATCTCCCCCTCTCGCTCACTCCCGCTTCGCCTCCTCTGCTAACCCTTTGTCGTGTTTTCGTTTCGTTTTTGCATGCACATAAAATAAATGCGAATGCTCAACAGCTACAACAGTTCTGTCAGATATTTGTCGCGGATTTATTGTTGTTGCTGTTGCTGCGTTTATTTCTCTAGCGCACATTTCGTATTTACATTTCCGGGTTGTTGCACGCCCGTTAAATATTTCGCAGCATTATATTTGCTAGCAAATTGGTTTTTGCTCTCTCTCTCTCTATCTCTCTCTCTCTCTCTCTCTCTGCCTCTATGTCGTTGCAGTCGAGCTGCATAGTCATCATAATTTATGCCACATGCAGTTAATAGAATATTTTTAAATATCACATTTATCATCGTTTTGTTTTGTATGCTGAATAGCTAAATATAATATTGAATAGAAATTATATGCGCCTATGCAAGTGTTTCAGTCTCTTGGCAGCTGTCAGAACTAGTTGTTAATTGAGATCAAGAGGTTATCTAGAATAATTCATTTATTCATATTAGTTGGAGAGAGAGATAGCAATAAAATAACTGATAACTTTATAGCTATCATTATCATTAGAGATCATCATAAAGATTTGCTCTAATTCAAGGTCTTTTTAATACCTCATTTAAGTATTAGAGCAATAGTTCTACTCCCGCTACTTTCATCTACCTCTCTCTCTCACACGCACACATTACTGCCCTTAACATTGCCTAAGAAGCCTCAAGTGTCTATTCTTCACACTCACACACACACACACACACTCACTGCTCTTCCTCATAGTTGTCTAATCTAAGCTACTTATCTATTATTTGTTTGCTCCCTGCTGCCCAAGTGCTATATAAGGTTTTTCCTTGCCTGCCTGAGCTACTGTTCACACATCAATTGATTAGCCCGCCCTTTGAAGCTGACTCATCGTGGAATATTAGATATTCCGCCTGAACAGGCGATTACACCGTAGAGAAGAGTCTTATGAAAAGAAAACGCAATTTCTTCCCCAGCGGCCGGCCACACCCCTAAGTAAACAAATATTTGCATTGCACTTATAAATACATCGTAAAATTTGTTTATTCATTGAGACTACTTAACGTCGATATGCGTAGATTTCCTAGATAGTGCAATAGACAAATAGCAAGGCCATCCGCTGGGCCCTGACGCCCCCAGCTGGTGTGAGCGAGATGGCATACATATATGTTATTTAGGAGCGGACATTTTATGGCATTGCAGTTATCAGCATATACATATATAAACTTATATATAGGTAGTATATGGGGCTGCGGTTAGTACAGTTTGCGTTGCCTATCGCGCACTTGTCCTTGAATCGAAATATCGCCATTTGGTTTTTATTGTTATTGTTGTTGTTGCATTTAGTTTAGTTCGTTTTGCAACGCTTCCCCATTGCAATTTGATAAAGATCGATGCAGCAGCGTTGACGGCGTTGCGGAAGTTTTTCACAGTCTAGAATAACAAAATTATTATGAGCACTGCATCAATGCTTGGACGACAATTCAAACATATATAAATGCATGTACATACATACGTATGCCCATTATAACTACACATATTTGTATATATATATATATATGTATATGCAATATGTATTAGAGCATTGTCGGCCGCAGCGCACACGGCGTATGCGCAATGTGCAAAGCTTATCAAAATTCAAATGCACTCGGAGACGCTGCCGATGATGATGACGTTGGCAACGTCAGCGGGTCGCCTGCGTTCAAGTTGAATGTTAAACTCAACGCGGGCAAGCGAAACGTTGCCGTTGACAATTTTCTAAAGGTTCGCTCAGCACAATGAAAACTAAATGGGGTATATTAATGAGTGCAATGAGCATGTAACTGGGCAACAGAAAATGGCAAATATTTTAGATTAACTATGTTTATTTTTTTGAGATTAAATTTAAGTTCTTCTCAATTTTGTATCTATTTAAATATTTGTAATATTTTATTTAGATCTTTATACATTCTCATTCTCTGCGCGATTCTCTCTCAGCCACTAAAGGGTATAAATTGTTTCGTCTTCGGACTTGAGCACGAAATGCGTTCGTGACACTGTGTCTGTGTGTTTGTGTGTGTGCCACTTATTTATTTTTAATTTGCTGCGCCACTCTAAGTAAATTTTTCATACAATTCGCGCTGGCCACGCCCCGGCAGCCCCTGCCGAGCTGCCCTAACGTGCTCAGCGCTCTCGTGTCCTTCAAATGCAATTGTGCGATGATTAGAAACGCAAAGCGTTGAGCTGTCTACTTTTTGTTTCTAATGCGGGCAACTCTTTATAAATACATGCATATACATATGAGTAGGTGTGTGTCTATGTGTGTGTGTCTGTGTGTGTGTGTGTGCAGCTGTTTATTTTCATTTTCATAGCGATAGCGTAAAGCTTTTGGCGCACTATCTGCACACACACACACACACACACACACACATACTACTATACGATTGTTTATATAGAATATAGATGTGCAACGATTTCCTAGGGGGCTAAACGCATCTGTTCTATGTTAAGACACATTCGAGTGCTTTGGCATTATCCAATTTCGGTTTGCCGTTCAGCGAAAGTTGGCTATAGAAAGAAAAAACCCTTTCGACCGGGCCAAAATACAAAATCGAAAGTACCTAAAATAAGACGAGAATAATCAAAGTGTTGAATGAAAAACGAGAGCAACTGTCTGTATTGCTCAGCTGGCGCCCAGTTGCCAAGCTGCACGCACACATAGAAAGCAATACTCCCACACACACACACACACGCACATTACAGCTAGCCAAAAGTGTTCGCACATTTCCGCACTCATCAAAATAGAATCGAAGTGCAATTTTGCAATTGCAATTGCAAGTGCAAGTGCAACAAGGCGGCAAAACACAGACACACACACACACACATGCATATAGTATCTGTAGCCGTGCCTGTATGCATCCGTGTTGTTGCCGCCATTGCCGTTTGCCAAAGTCTGGGCAAAAAGTTCTCATTTATGCTGCACGTCGCCGCAGTTCGCATTCTACGTGCGTGTAGCTCACAGATTTGGTTACGGCAAAAGAACCAAAAAGACAGCAGAAAAGTAACTGAACAAACAATTGGACGAATATTGCAAATTGAAGCAATGTCAATACGACTCCGGGGTGAGTGCTGATGAGTATTAAAAAAAATCTATATATATGTATATATGATTATGATTACACAAATTTTAAGTGCTCTGCAAACAGCGAGCTCTTATCAAAGCCAGCCAAATGCACTGATAGCACTCTAATTGAAAATGAGAATAAGGAAGAGAATTTCGCTTTATTAGTGTAGCCTACAGCTGTGTAAGAGTAAATTCAACTTTGCTGAGAGACCGACCAATGTCAAGCAAATAGATTGAGATCAGTTAGGGAACTTCAATAGCAAATTTTCAAAATTCCCAGGACTTGCTTTCATATGTTTGATTGACACAAAGCCTGCCACATAATTGGCTATCAGGAATTCTATTTCTGTCAACATGCATCACACTTGTGGCTTTGTCTGTCGCTGACATTCAATTGACAACTCAAAAATATGCGGCTCATCAATATGGGAAGCTGGCGTCGTGAATTCCTCTAGCCTAGCCTAGCACAATATATTTATGATTGCGCAGCGGCGCAGCAAAACCAATGCCAAAACAATGCCAACAACAACAACAAGAACAGCAGCAGAAGAAGAGACAGCAAATAAACGTTAGACGTTGGCAACTAACGTTGGGAAAGCAGCAACAACAACAACAGTGGCCGCAGCAGCAGCGACAGTCCCGGCGAAATGCAGTCGAAACGAATTCGCCAAGCGACTGCGAAAGCTTTTGCTTTGCATGGCACTCAAAAGCGCAACCCTTGAACAAACTTGAGCGAAAAACTTTGTTTTCGGCTGCGTTGGCGCCGCTGCAGTCGCTGAGTGAGTGCATTTTGACTGAGTGCAGCGGCAGCGGCAGCGGCAGAGTGAGCTTTGAGCATGGCGCCTGTGCCGGCTGCATGTGCGAGTATACTGTGTGTATATGTGGGTCAGTAGTAGGAACACTCGGTTCGCGTCTGTGTGGATGGGCAGAGCGTTCATTCTAAAGACTTTTGCACGACACTAGTTTAATAATTTTTAGTTGTATTTTATTGTTATTGTTTTTGATTTTGTTGCTCTTGCTGTATGCTCGCCGCCCAGCCGCCCAGCCGCCCTGCCCGCCCCTCTCCCACACTCTAGCTGTTGCCATACATTTCCGCATAGTTGCATTTGTGAGCGCAATTTGTAATTTTGCGAGCGAGCCCGAGAATCCAACGGGAAGACACACAAATTTGCTGATGTCGCTGCCGTGAGCTGGTTGCCTCAGTCAGTGCAATCGGGTATGCGGTGCGGTCGGTCGGTTGTTCTCGCCGACGGTGTTATTTGGTTAGTTTTATTTTTTTGCCGCCGGTACGCAAAACTTTGGCAATGCAATCTGTAACAGTTGTTGAATATATCTGAAAGCAAAATAATATAATTAAATGCGGATGACAAACAGAAATCGCTGCAAATATGCTGGTAGGCAGCAATGAAAGTGTTCGGCTGGGCAACGCGGCGTATGCGTAATATATCGAGCACGAAAACCAGCAACGAAACAGAAAGTGATGCGTAATTTGCCAGCACGAAAAGTCAAAATCAAAAATCAAAATTAAATAAAATAAAAAGCAATACGAAATTTCAAATTATTCTGTGTGTGCGAACGAGAGAGAGAGAGAGAGAGAGAGGAGCAACAGTAAAAAAAGTTATATAAAGAATTCGAGCGGCTCAATTAACAGGAATATATTAATTAACATTCTGTATGTATATATGTACATATATTGAGAGCAAAGTAGCTGTCATTAATGAGCGACGATAAGCAAAACAAAACGAAAGTACAAACAAGAAGTTGGCCAAAAATAAAACCCAACAGCCTCACGTGAGTGTACCAAATACTGAATGGGTTTTTCAATTTGGTTTCGCGATGCGCCAATAGAATCGATGTATTCTCCTGGTGTCGCTTGCTGTCAATTGAAGTGGGAAGAGATTTGCCTCTGAATGCCCCTGAACGTGAACGCATAACCTCCATTAAGGCCGCAATCTTGAACTATGCAAACACACACACACAAACACGCGACGACGACGACGGCAGCGAACGAATCGTAGCCAGTCGACGCTCCGTCGTTAACGCTTTTGCCGCTATTTTTCCCGATAACAACGACAACGACGACGACGCCATTGAAATACGAATGCAATACTGCAAGCACACACACACATACACGCACACACACACATGTAGAGTGAAATTTTCGAGTGTAGTTCTGAGTGAGTGGGCGAAGCTTTGCCTGTCGCACAGCCTAATAGATTTGAGCGTCTGTCTCTGTGTGTGTGTGTGTGTTTATGTATGTATATGTGTGCGTATTTCTATAACTATGTATGTGACGCATTTATTAATAGCACTGGCGAAAAGAAAGGAAAACAAAATATAGAAACCAGTGAAAAGTGAAACAGTCATCCACAGCGCCATACTAAAGCTCTATTTTCTGTCTCTTTCTGGCACCCGCTCTCTTTGCAGATCAAGTGAAACTTTAAATACAACAACAGCTAGCAGCCTAAGCACTACAACAACACAAAAGCGCACTTAAGCCTAGCATTAAGAAGCATTCTACAACCACAATTAGCTGTATATTCAAAATGCATGGACATAATCATCACCAGCCACAGCAACAGCAGCAGCCGCAGCAGCAACAACAGCAGCCGCAGGTGCCGCAGCAGCAGCTGCCACAAATGTCTGCCACAATGAAGCTGGCGCCACATCCACATCCACAGCAGCAGCAGCAGCCGCAGCAGCAACAAACACACATAGCCATACAGCAACAGCATCCACAACATCCACAGCATCCACAACATGCACAGCATCATCCGCATCATCACGCCAAGCTGCTGCGACGCTCGCGCAGTCGCAGCCGCAGCCCCACGCCGGACGGCACGCAGGACTATGATGTGACGCGCATGCGCGAGGAGGACTTTGAGCGTCTGGCCGTCTATCTGGTGCCCGATGTGCAGGCGGAGCGCGGGCTGCCCAACCGAGCGGACAAGACGCTGCCGCGCAGCCTGACGCTCAAGTCCTCCATGGTCTACTCAACGCCAAATGTCAAGGTGAGCAAAAGCAGAGAGAGAACTGAGTGTAATAGCAGAACTAACTGTACCTCTTCTTCCCCTTTCTCGCTCTCACAGACTGAAGGAGTTTGGAGCAGCGGCGTCATACCGCGTGGCACACGCTTTGGCCCTTTCGAAGGCATTCCAACCTCCAACTATCCGAACGATAAGAACAAGGCGCGCTATTTCTGGCGGGTAAGCATCCAAAATCTATCTAAAATGGGCTCCAACTGGTTCTTACTGTTTATTTAACCTAATATATTTTCATTTTACCAATGTTGTTTTGAATAACCGTTACCATTACTTTGCTGCATTTTGCCACCTACTTTGTTTATATATAAGAACAATATGATCATCAAACGAGCCAAAACTAAGCCACTAACCAACTGGTTTCTCTGAATTTTTAATTTCATGTGCATAACACCCAATTACTATACAAATCTATACAATTATAATCAACCAACAACCAAATACCAATTACCAAACCAAACCAATATAAAAATTCCAAATTACAATTTTGCATTTTGTTGCGGATTTGAATTTGAATTTGAATCAGGTGCAGGGAACACGCCACATAACCTACGGGAATATTAAGGTACCACTTTATGCTTTGTTTTATTTGTGACTCTTAACCATCAAACGCACTCTCTATCTATCTATCTCTCTCTTTAACTTTCACACTCCAACTGCACCCCCTCTCTCTGTCTCCCTCTCTCTCTGTGCCTGCCTATCTCTATTGCTGAGCAGGCGCTGCATTTGCTCTCTTTTGTAGTTCGCTTTCTGTGTTTGTCGCTTCCTGTTGCGAATAAGCTTAACCAATCAAATCTTCCCTCTCTCTCTCTCTCTCTCCCCTGCTCTGTCTATGCAGATCTTCAAGGATGATGATTATTATTATCTGGATGGCTCGGACCGTTCGCAGTCGAACTGGATGCGATATGTGGCCTCGGCCTACAGCTTGTCGGTGATGAACCTGGTCGCGTGCCAGCATCAGGAGAACATCTATTTCTATACCACCCGCGACATACTGCCCAACGAGGAGCTGATGGTGTGGTACTGCAAGGACTTTGCCAGCCGCCTGGGCTACGATGTGGACCCGGAGCGCACCATATTCGGCGCATGCAAGCAGGACGTCGATGTCGAGGAGGAGGAGGACGACGAGCTGCCGCACAAGAAGCCCCACTACGCCATGGCCGCGCCCGAAATACCCGCCGAGGTGGCTGTCAGCCACATCACCTATGTGATGGGTCTGCATTTGCCGGGCGCGCCAGCGCCGGCGCCAGCTCCAGCAGCAGTCGCCGCCTCGCCCGCCGCCGCCCAGTGCTGTCGTCGTGGCAGTCCGCCGGCCCATGTCAGCACCACCACCGCCACCACCACCAGCAACAACAACAACAACAGCAGCAACAGCAGCCACAACGGTGCACTGCATCCGCACATACAGCACAGCCGGCACGCGTCCGTCATCATTGGCCAGGATCGCTCGCCGCTGAACAGCAGCTGCGACAAGGAGGCCATGGGATCTCCGCTGTGCGTCAAGGACGCTCACTACGAGCACCAGTTGACGCCGCAGGATGGCAGCGTGCGCTCGGTGCGCTCCGATGAGGGCTACCACAGCAACGAGTGCCAGGAGGATGGCCTGACGCCGCCGGAGGACTCCAGCGACAGCGAAAGCGAGCACAACTATGTGCTGGACTGCTCCAAGAAGGCCATTGCGCCCAAGGAGACGGTGATTGCGCAGGCGCAGAAGCCCAGCAGTGCGACGCCGCCGGCCACCACGCCCACCGCCGTCACGCCCAGCTGTGAGGCGGACAAGAACGAGTACCGCAAGTTCAAGGTGAAGATGCCGCTCAAGTACGAGTTCAAGAACAAGAGCTGCGTCAAAACGGAGCCGCTGAAGGATGTGGATGAGCATCTGCCGTTGGCTGGCGTCAGCCTGGAGGAGGAGGAGCTGCACGAGCTGCACGCAGTGGCGGCAGTGCATTCCGAGGACTCGCTCTGCCCGCCCAGCACGACGACAACCCTGGGCGAGGAGCAGCACCTGCAGCACCTGGAGCCAACCAACACCCAGCCCGCCTCCTCGACGGTCATTGTGCTGGAGCACAACTCCGGCGGCCAGGCGCGCACCATTGTGCCGCTGAGCAAGCCGTACTACGAGGCCGATCCGCCCGGGGAGCGCTATGTGCGCTTCACGCAGCCCAGCTCCAGCATACTGGAGACCATTCTGACCAGCCAGCATCGCCTGGAGGCGGCTGCCGCGGCAGCGAACGCCTGCCGGCAGGCGAATGCAGCCACGCCGCCGCCCACATCGCCCACGGAGATGGCCTACAGCTACAAGAAGTCGCAGCGCTACGGCAACGCGGTGAGTCCCGATTCCAGCTCGAATCTGGGCCAGCCCCAGGAGCTGGCCGGCGGCCATGCTGTGAGCGAGCAGGAGCTGGTCCTGAGCCGTGGCACCCTGATCAAGGGCGAGTGCTCGCCGCCGCCTGCCGCCTCGCATCTGCACCACAATGTCATCTACTCGCCCTCGAGGTCCCATCACGCCGCCTACGAGCCGGGCAGCCACTCGCCCAACTATGCGGGCTACGCGGCCTATCCGGGCGCGCAGTCGCTGCATGCGGCCACCTCCACGTTCCACTCGCCGCCGCACAGCTCGCACTCGCCCTTCGATCGCCAGTCGAATGCGTCCAGTGGCGGCGGCTCCGCCTCCAACTTGCATCTGCTGCAGAGCAGCACCCAGATGCTGAACCATCCGCTGATGCAGCCGCTGACGCCACTTCAGCGCCTCTCCCCACTGCGCATCTCGCCGCCCAGCAGCCTCAGCCCCGACGGCAACTCGTGTCCGCGCAGCGGCAGCCCGCTGAGTCCCAATTCGTTGGCCTCGCGCGGCTATCGCTCGCTGCCGTATCCGCTGAAGAAGAAGGACGGGAAGATGCACTACGAGTGCAATGTCTGCTGCAAGACCTTCGGCCAGCTGAGCAATCTCAAGGTGCATCTGCGCACCCACTCGGGCGAGCGGCCCTTCAAGTGCAACGTCTGCACGAAGAGCTTCACCCAGCTGGCGCACCTGCAGAAGCACCACCTGGTGCACACGGGCGAGAAGCCGCACCAGTGCGACATCTGCAAGAAGCGCTTCTCGAGCACATCCAATCTGAAGACGCATCTGCGCCTGCACAGCGGCCAGAAGCCCTACGCCTGCGATCTCTGCCCGCAGAAGTTCACGCAGTTCGTCCACCTGAAGCTGCACAAGCGCCTGCACACCAACGATCGGCCGTATGTGTGCCAGGGCTGTGATAAGAAGTACATCAGCGCCTCCGGGCTGCGCACGCACTGGAAGACCACCAGCTGCAAGCCCAACAATCTGGAGGAGGAGCTGGCCATGGCGGCGGCAGCCACATCCGAGTGTCTGGGTAAGTTCAGCTCTTAGAGGCTTCACTGTGACAGCTGCTTATATGGATTTTCGCTTTGCAGACAAGGACTTGCCCGAGCCGGACTCGCGGGAGGCCTACGAGCAGCTGCAGCAGCACATGCATCCGGTGCATCCGAGCCTGCGCCACTTGACTGGCGCCCAGTCGCCGCCGCGTCTCATTCCATTGGGCAGCAACGGACAGCCGCACATGCACATGCAGCAGCTGCAGGGACACCAGCCCCATCAGCCGAGCAATGCGCCGCCGGGTCACCTAATGCTGCCGCAGCACTCGCCGCACAGCGGGCCGCCCATGCTGCTGACCACGGCCAATCAGCTGCCGCCGCCCACAGCGCCCCACCACATGCAGCAGCAGCAGCCGCCGCAGGCCTCACCCAACCGACAGCCGCCCACTCATCAGCAGCAGCAGCAACAGCAACAACAGCAGCAGCAGCAGCAACATCTGGGAGCAGCGCATCATCTGGCGCAGCACTCGCCCAAGTCGCTGAAGCCGCTGCCCGACTCGGGCTATCTGCATGGAGCGCATGTTCAGACGCAGGAGAACCGGCCCTCGGTCATCGAGTCCTCCAGCCAGCCGATGATCATCAAGTGCACGTAGAGGCAGAGAGGGCAAAAAAAAAAACACAAACAAAAACTGTAAATTAAAGTGCAATATAAAACAACAAACAACAAGTAGAAGTTAAGATCAAGAGAGAAACAAACCCGAACCGAAGTGGACAGACGTTACCTAACAGCAGCACAAGCATACATAACGGTATTATTATTAGATTGTACATAGGCAGGCGGGCCCAAATAACAACAACACAAGAAAACACACACACACACACACACACATGCAAACAAAAACTCACTCAAAATTTAAAACTCATTTCGCGCTATGAAATAAAAGAAGATCTCAACAATTGGCAGTAAGCAGAAAATCTAATAGAACACTGCATATTATTTTTGATAAATATTTTATATTGAAACAAAGAAAACGAAATTCAGAGACAGCCAGAACAATGAATAATAAAAGAAAATTGAATTTCGAATGAACCGAAAGTGAAAATGAAAATGAAAATGCATTTAATTTACTTTTGTTTTGAGTTTGAGGCGCGCTTAGTTGTAAATATCAACAGTACAGTTATGCATAAAAGTAAACATACACACATACATACATACATATATATATATATATGCATATATATACATAAAAAAATACATAAACAATTAGATTCAAGTTGCCTTATTTGACTTTCGTTAGCACTGAATGGAAAAACATTTGCTTACAATTCCAAATTTAAGCAGAGAAAGAGGGAGAGAGAGAAGAAAATATGAAGTATAAAATCTAAACAAATAAACAAAATGCAAATACGTATTTTATATATAAATATATAAATATAAATCAATATTTATTATATATATTTATATATATATGAATATATATATTTGTATCTATTTTATTGAAAGCAACAGCAACAGCAACAGCAAATCAGCAACATGTAAATATATATGAAATCAAACAAATAAAATAAACAAACAATAATCTGATAATATATGTAATTAATTAATTAATAATGAATTCATTTGATGGCCTGTTAAATTTCGATCGCTTCATTCGCACTAGTGCTTAGCTCTTAATTACTTAGCCAAGTAGAGATTATCATTATTATTATTATTATTATTACGATTATTATGATTAGTAGAAAAACTGAACAAAAAACATAAAAAAAATATTTAAAAAAAAGTAAAGAAAAGAATAGTAAAACAAAAACAACTTAGCTGAAAATCGGTGCTTTTGACTGTTTCCATTTGTCCACATTTACATTTACAATTGTATTTGTATTATGAAACACAATAATTATTACCATTACACTTAAGTACCATAATATACATACATATATATACACACACACACATTTATATAAATACCCTATATACATAGAGATATTAGAACAGATAAATAGCCTAATAATAATAGCAAACATACTCTATATATCATAAAACTTCTCTATACAAATCTTTCAACTTACGTTTGCGCCTTGACAGCTCCCAAATTCCCAACAACAATTATATGTAAAATGCAAATATGAATTATTCGTAACTCTACCAAAATTAGCAACAACAAAAACAAAAACAAACAACTCTCTCAATTAGTCTTCGGTTTTTTCTCTATGTCTAAGTTTAAGTAAAGCGAATTGCTTAGTTAATTGTCTGATTAATCTAATGAAACACTAATATCTAAGCTTATAATATTAATGAGGCTGACTAGCGTTAAGTCTAAATTTAATTAGTCTGTAATACAAATACCTGTATATTACATAAATAACGGCTTAACATTGTAAGAAACAACACCAACAATTCGTAACACTTAAGTATTTTTCGTGTACGCGCGCGCTGAGAGCGCACGCGGCGTATGCGTAACATTTGTCTATGTGAATCGTATTCGTTGAATCGTTTCGATTGCGCCACACGCCCGTGCGTTCGCCTTGTAAAGTACTTAGTCCGGACCGGATCATTATGATTTTGATCCCGGTCCGGCCTAAGTGGCAGCAGCGCGCGTTAGACCCGCTAATTGAGACTAAGACTATGCAAAATTGATTTTTTTGTATTTTTGTATTCGATACAAAGACGCAAAACCGTTGAAAAAGTTACATTACGGAGCTAGCTATAATTGTAGAGCCTAAGTTTACTAAGCATATGCAATATTTATATAGTATATATACATATATACATATACGCATTATCTAACTCTATTGATAAAGTATTGAGTGGGAGACCTACATACATGGAAAATATAAAAGAAGATAATCAAAATTATAAAAAAAAAAAAAAACAAAATTGTTTATTTTTCATTTCAAACTGTTTTTGGTTTTCGACTTTGGAATCTACTTTTTTTCTATTTTTTATTTTATTTTTTGTAAGTTGGTTGTGAGTTAAGACTTTTGATTTCTTGTGCAATACTCAAATATTTAATATAATTTTGGAACTGATTTCGTTTTGAATCTTGATTTAGAGTTAAAGCAAGGAAATATATAATCAAATAATATTGAGAAATAAATAATACTTTCCTATTTGTGAGACTGAGACTGAATGAATTACTATATATATATATATATACACAATACTCTTTAGCTTGTAGTGCTTTAGGCATTACAGCAACAACAACAACAACAACAGCAAATACAACAAACAAAGAAATAACTTTAGCATTGATTTGCCCGGCCGCAATTTCGATATTTTACAAACAAATGAAAACTTTTGCTAACAACATATTTTACAAAACGATAAAGGAAAATAGTTTTTCATACAATAGCATTTGGTTTATTGTGAGCATTGTAATATATAATTATTATTTACATAAATATATATACATATAACAACTATTATACATATATATATTTGTAATAGCACACGTTTGTAGCGTTAGAGAAATAGTGGGAGAGCTATAGAGAGCTATACTAACTACGCCCTACGATGAGGATGCGAATTGTACAGTTATTTTGAAATCTGTTTCAGGATTCAAAACACAAAAACAAAAAAGTGACGACAACACGTAAATTTAAATGGAGAATAAATGACTGCTTCTTAGTGTTATAAGTGACTCTGATTTAGGTCAACACACACAAAAAAAAACAAAAACAAAACAAAAATCATTGATGCGAATCAATTATAGAAATCAAATCCAAATATATTGCATTATATATTCGATAAGTAATTATATGTATGTCAACTTTTATTGCAAATCAATATATATAAATATATTTATATATATATATATTTCCATATTTATCTGTATCTGTCTCTGTATATTTATCTAATTACGTATATAGTGCATGTAGAGCCTTTGTTATTATTCATATTTATATTGGTATACACACACATTTATATATATACATACATATATATATGTATATCTAATATTTAATTGAAAAATTGTTTTTTGTGTCCACAAATGTACAAAATTGGTTCTCATACACAATTAAAAAACGCAGCGAATTTCATTTGCAATCATCATTAACGAAACAAATTGCAATTAAAACCTTAAATTAGTGAACAAATTTTGTTGAGTCCATTTAAAATGTTAGCGATATGTCTCTGTCATTCACCTTTTATGCCACAATAACAGAAAAACAAACAACAACAACAACAAAAGCAAATAAATAAGCATGAAAGCAAACAAATAAATATGAATCCATAATTGACTATATGCATACATACATACATATGTATTGCGAATTATATGCGTAAATCTAAATGAAAATAAACAAAAAAATGATATGAAATTATGAAATTATTTGAACGCAACTTAAATTCCTATTAATTATATAAAAATATCTCTAAAAATATATCTAAATGAAAACCAACAATTAATACCACGTACGATGAAAAGACATAAATAAAAACAAAATATTTCATACTAACAAAACTTTCTTATTATTTTCATTTTATTTTTAAGTATATGGATACTATAAAAAGTGTAATATTTCATTTCAATTTGATTTATATACATAAATGACTTGGCATATCGCATTTCATCTTCATCTCTCGCTTCTTCAGCTGCTTCAAGTGTGGTTTAAAGTGTTATTTAAAATTGTAGCATACTTTTAGGAGCTTCGATTAAATTGAGCATTCATTTAAATGGATTGCATATGTCCATATAACAGCCGGTAATTTCAAGCAAGGCTTAAGCTATCTTAGCAAATTATCTTATAAATGGTTTTAGAAATACTTTATTTCACACTCGCTTCAGTTGTCTACTATTTTGCCAAATCTAAAAAATCTCAGCATTAATTCAATCGAATGCATCACATTTAGTGAGCTATTCTTAGCTATATTCATCGATTTGATAGGCATAAACAGTTTAATAAATCGCAATCGTAGTTGGCTCTGGCTTCCTTTAGGTCGAGGCGCTGTCATGGCAAAATGGAAACATCAATCACGTGTCAATCAAGAGGGAAAGTGGGATACTTGAATGCTTATTGTGGACTCTAATAATAAGCCGGCCTCCTGCTGAACATGCAAATTGTGTGCGCTCTGGCATAAAAAAAGGACACCGACAACAGCAGCATCAGGAAAAAAGGAAAAAAAAAAAACAGAAAATAAAGAGATTGGCGATAATCACACACACATACACACACACAGCAGTGAGTACTGACATGAGGTGCCACAGTCGGGTCAAACGCGTGCAGCCTCCCCTCGCAGCGCTCCAGTTGCAACCACTTTGCATGCTGCAACTTGCAATTTTCTGTGCATTTTCCGTTTGTGATTTTGCATAGAGTTTCGCTGCTCGCATTTTCCACATTTTCCACATTTTTGTTTGGCTGCATTTTTATAGACTTAAAGCGGATTATTTTCAGCGCATTGTGTGCGCGTGGCCTTTGTGTCTGTCCGTGTATATCCGGAAATGCATGTGTCCGATCAAGCAGGGGTCCCAACGGCCGGACAATGGCTGCACGTCCTGCAATTGCATTCATGATGTGCGGCTGCCTTGTTAATCCTGTTCCAATTATGCGCATGTGAGTGCCTCGTATACCCTAATGGGCACTTTTCATTTCAGCCATTGTGTCCGCAGGCGTCCAGCCCATTGGACACTCACTCACACACACACAGATGTACAGGCAGCGAGAGAATCTCGGGCACAAGCCAAAGGACTCTGCTGTCGGCAAAATATTGATTACACAGGCCCCTTTGAGCAAAGGACTATTTCATTTTTTTGCTACTCTGATTCTGTTTTGTGTTGTTTTTGTTGTTGTTTGTTTATTGTGCTGCCTGCATTTATTAAAGATAAAAATCAAACTGACCCAAGCCTGACCTCGCAGCACCCAGTTGAGGGCAAAGCCCTGCTCTCATTTCACACACATATGTTTTTTATATGGTGCGAATCGGAAGTCCATAATAATGGAAGATGCCTTAAAAGAAGTTCATAAATGTGAAATATGTTGAGTTGCTAAAAGACTTGTTTTTAATGTATGAAATATTTCTTAGTTGATAAACATATTTATAATTGGAAACTTCAATTTGAATTAAGACTCCTTTTATATATTTTTTAACGCAACCTTTAAGTAATACTAATAGTAAGTTGATTTCTAATATATGTACATATATGTATAAGTGTGCTGCTCTTGCTTTCAACTATTTTATTCTCCTTTTGTGATGATTTTATTTCAGTTATTTCTATCTAATCAAAGAAAACTAATATAGGAATAGAAACAATGATTTACTAGTGCTTTATTCTCTACTTTGCCACTCTCATTAATTTCATTATGCTTAGGAGTATTTTATGTTGAAGTCTCTGTGCATTTTCGATGCATATGTGTGTAGGGAATACATTGGCTGAATAGCTAGCTGAAAATTATACATATTGAAGGTTTGCTTACAGTCTCTTTCCTTATCTCTCTAGCTCTAGCTACCCTTTGTATTGGAATTATTTCTACTTCTTTGCCTTTAATATATACATTTTAAGTCATGGTTATATGTATGTATATATTTAAATTTGTAAAAGATATTTATGTCTATCTGCGAATTTGAATATACATATGTAGTTCATTTGTCTCTGAGTAATATTTATTTATTACTATGCAACTATTAGAACCTAATTATTTATATACATATTTATATATTCGCTAACTTGATTTTTACTTTATAAAAACTGTATAAAATCCGCAATTCTCCATAAAAAAGAAGTAAGTCCATAATGTATCACTCCATCTCAAGCACTCCTTAGTCACATTTTTTGTATTTTCACACATACATACATGTCCATATATAGTGCTATATAAGTATATACATGCATATATACCATTTCTATATGTGTTTCGTTTCACGTACCGTAAATCTCTGCCATAAACCCTCGCAACGTCTCACCCTCGTGCAAGCGCCCCTTGCCGTGCTGTCATCAAACATTTTGCGGCATTGGCCGACGATTTGGCATGCCACATAGCAGGGCCAACACCGTGGCACGTGCCATGATAAATTGCATCCCAGCATTCGCAAAATGTTGCACAATAATGCCACGCATTGCCGCAGGAGGAGGGTAAAAATGCGTTGCCACGCGACATCGGCAATTTGTGTGCATAATCTGCAGAAATTCGGCTTTTCGGGGTGGCACAGCGACCAATGTGCGAGTGTGTGTCCCGTTTTTTTGTGCACTTTTTTTATGCAATTTTTTGTGCCACCAATCAGAGTGCTTATTGTTTTTTATGCCCTCCGCCTATCAGAACGCAGGCCCGGTCACAGACCGCTGTATAACAGTCGCCAGCAGTGGGTATAACAGTCGAACAGACTGTATGACAAACGGATCGAGAAGCGTACAGTTCCAAATATTTATCTAAAACGCAGATAAGCAACAAGAGCATTTCATGTGCTCAGAGAGCATGTTCTCTGCATGTGCTCTCCCACTCTTCCTCTCTCTCTTCCCCTCTCACTCTCTCTCTCTCTCTCTCTTTTGCTCGCTCGCTGAGCGATCGCTACGTAAACGTGTCTGTCAGCTACGCTTACGTTGTTACGCTCGGTGCTCAACACGGCGCGACTCAAATGTTTTTCCACACTCACACACACACGCGCACGCACTATGGCCATTCGCTGTCTCGCTCGCACGCGCACGCACGCACATCATGTGCGTCGTGGCCGTGTTTGAATATTATTTTTGAAGATACAGCTACAATTTCGGGTTGTCTCTTGTGCGCTGCACGTATGTGCGTATGCGTAAGCGTATGTGTGTGTGCCTATGTTTGGGAGTGTGTGTGTTTCAGGCACTGTGGCCTTCCTAGAAATAGTAAAACGCAACTCAGAGTTCAGTGTGACGAAGTGCGTCGTGCGCAGCGGCAGCGTTTTTCAATCGATTCCGTTTTCCGAGTTTCACTTCCAATACGTTTCCATCTCTGGGCGAGTGTGTGTGCGTGCGTGCGTGTGTATCTGTGACTGCATCTATGTGTGCATTGTGTATATATTCAAGTGCTGCATAGTGTAGGCAGCAGGAACATGCTGCAGTTGACATAGAATACTGAGCAATAAGAAAGAAACAAGCAATAAGAAACAAACACTAAACTCTGAACTCTAATCAGCATGGAAAATCCCAATTTCAGCAGCGAGGCAGCAGCAGCAGCAGCACACTCTGAAGGCGCCAGGAATACCACCTCACCAGGTAATACTGACAATCTCCCCGTTCCCCCTCCCGTTCTCCACATTCCCAAAGTCAGAGCGTATCCAAAATCAGTGAGGCCATAATAAAACTAGTTTCGCTTTTGTTTATGTGGATGTTGCCCCATAAATGAAAGAAAAAAAAAAAAACACCAACAACTACAACAACAACAGCAAACACGAAATCTTATCAAACTCAACGCTGATTGGCCACACAGCGATTGCTGAGTTGTTTTTGTTGATTTTCTGTTTTGCTATGTACTACGCAGTTCTTTATATTTGCTTTCCGCATTTCTGTTTTGCTTTTGCCATCCGACATTTTTTATTGGCAAATCATTTTTTATGCGCCTCTATGTATAAATCGGCATATGAGCGAACGTTGATCAACCCTCAAAGTGATTGCAAATCGAAACACATTCACTCCCCCCACCCCGAAAGTGCATGTGCAAAAACCGCCCTCTGACCCTACCCTCGCATACCCTACCCCGTATGGCTGAAATTTGACCAACATTTTCGACACATTTCCCATGTATTTCTTTCGGCCTCAACTTTTTGCTTGACTGCATTTCTCACATATTTCTGTGTCATTTATTTCCAATTGACAAGTTTTCATTCCGAGTTACAAAACAAGTTTTCGTCTTACAACATTATTGTAGGCAAATTTGGGCGCTTCTTTATTTTCTTCTTCTTTATTTTGAAGTCGAGTGAATCGTCTAGAAAATTAAGCGTTAATAGAAAAATAGACGCGTTTTTCCCGCACATCGAAAGTCGCTCAGGCATGCGGTGGTTGTTTTTAGCTAAAGATCATCTATATACATTTATATATTTTTAAACTAATTGAGAGACTTTACACTGGAAAGGTGCGGGACAGACAGAGAAGATGTGTCATACAAATGTTCGGGAAGTAAACAGAAACAGAAAAAAAGCTAGAAATGGCTGCTAGGGTTCAGTTTTGATAGAAAAAGAAACTTTATTATAAAGAATAGTCGTTTATATATTGAAAACTAGTTTATAGATCACATGCTTTTGGATCTGGCTTATATGTAAAAAGTCAAGTTTTTCATTTCCAAAAACAAATAAGTCTTAAGTATCTTTATAAATCTCCATAAAGCACTCATAGATACGATCTCTTTCAGTCTTTTGGCATTTCATCTAATCAAATTGAATGAAACCCCATTAATTTGAGCCCTCTCTAATTGAAATTTCTAACCGCATTCTTAACGAGCCAGCAATTGTTGCAATAAGACAACGAGCAGCTCTTGAGGTTCGGCAGCAACAACCCTCTAGAAGAGAAAGGCATTTTATATGGGGCTTTCAGATAAGAGCTATCAGCAGAGTTAATATGCAGCGTAGTGTATCTATGTATCTGTGAGATACTGCATAGGCGAAACGCATACCGAAAGATAAGCAGCCTAAAATGGAACGCAATCGAAATATCAAATTATGAATGAACGCAGCAACTGAATGAAATACACTCGACTGTGAGAGAGAGAGAAAGAAGGAGAGAGAGAGAGAGAGAACACAGATAAAGAATAACTCATACAAACATATTTTTCGTATGGCAACCAACTCCCAAGCAATTCAATTCAATCCAATCGCTTTATTCGCTCCAGCGTATTTACACTCTGTAAAAATATTTCTAATAGAAACAACGAAACCTGTTTTCCAGTCGTTGTTGTTGTTGTTGTTGTTGCCGCGATAGAGTTTTTGGTTTTTGCTTGTCTTGAGCATTGCCTCGCGGCAAATGGGACAAGGACACGGTTAGGCATTTAAGAAGTTCAGCTGCTGCCGCTGCTAGCTGCGGCTCATTTGAATAACAAAACAATTGCAGCTATACCCAGGCAGGATATTCAGGATAACGCTGTCGTTGCCATTAACTCAAATACTTTTTACAATTCTCTTGCAGTGACGCAGGGCGGGGAATGCGGCTGCGTGCGACTGGGTAAATGCAAATGGTTCAATGTGGCCAAGGGCTGGGGCTTCCTAACGCCCAACGACGGCGGCCAGGAGGTCTTTGTGCATCAGGTGGGTAAAACACACACACACACACACACACGCAGACATACATTTCAATGTCACTCAATTGCCGTTGTCACACAGAGCGTCATACAAATGTCCGGCTTTCGTTCGCTGGGCGAGCAGGAGGAGGTGGAGTTTGAGTGCCAGCGCACAGCGCGCGGCCTGGAGGCGACACGTGTTTCGGGGCGGCAGGGCGATGATTGTCACGGCAGCACCTATCGGCCACGCATGTAAGTGACATAAAGACAAAATGAAGTAGAGGAAAAGAACAGGAAGTAACGCATATCTAAATCATATTCAACTCAACTCTGCAGCAATAGGAAAACTCGCCGCATGCGCTGCTACAATTGCGGCGAATTCGCCAATCACATTGCCTCAGAGTGCGCGATAGGGCCGCAGCCGAAGCGCTGCCATCGCTGTCGCAGCGAGGACCATCTGCATGCCGACTGCCCGCAACGCAACACCACTGTGGTGAGTTCATGCAAACCCACCACACGCACACAGCACAGGGATTTAGCTAATTCATCTCCCACTTTCCACAGACACAAACCAGCAGGCGAAGCAAAAGCGTTGCCAACGACCAACAGCCTGAAGCTGCTGTCGAGCCAACTCCCTAGCGCCAACGACACGGGGTCACATTTGAAGTTCAAAACTTGTAAGAAAAAGAGCAACACCACCTAGCAAACGAAACGTACAAAACGCATGAAATCAAAGAAATACCTCACGTACAGCCAACAACTGCGCACAAGTGCAGTCATTTTGTTCGGTATGCAAAACTAGACTTAAGGTGACGAGTGCAGATGCAAAGGCATTCTAACTATAATTTTAGAGCTTAACTTTACCAGATAGCATGCTAAAGAATACACTAAAGGCCATTTAATGATTAGTTCTAAGCGTAAACTTTTAGATTTGTAGCATTTTAGAGCGCTTAAAGTCTGGAAGGTAAAACTATGGTACAAATGATTCAAACATATCAGAATATGTTTACAATTTGTATTAAATATTATTTGTCACAACAAAATATGCAAATTTAAACTTAAACTTTAGTGAGTAAATATAAGAATTTACTAAAAAATCAAATGGCTTTGTTGTTTTTTTCTTTAAAATTTATTTATATTTTCTTTACATTATTTAGCCCAATGTGAATTTCAGCTTAGTTTTACATTTTATTGGCTAGAAATGTAAAAAAGCTTTGCTTCGAGAGCCTCCAATCTCAGCACCCCTCAAACACGCACACACACACGCATACACATAGATAGCACACACACCCCTGGGGCTGGCAGTGATAAGAAAGCTCTTGGCCAGTCACGTGCTGGGCAATAACAACAGTGAAGCTTTTTGGGGCCTGGCAGCAACAACAACAATGAAAACGCAGAATCATTGTAACACGTTGGGCATTGAGCTTCCACCCCGTCGCTAGTAACTGTGAAAGTGAAATAGTGGCCGAGGAGATTGGAGGCAGCAGCAGGAGCAGAAACACTAGCAGCAGCAGCAGGAGCAGGCAACAACAATGTGAATATTGTGCGAGGACACGCACGCGAGAGGTGAAAGTTGCGCTCTTTCTCTCCAGCCGATTTCTCTCTGGGCGAGGGCGAAATATCCCTTCGGCTGTTTTTGTCGCGGTTTGCGATTCAAATTTGTAGCTGTGGTTGTTGTTGCTGCTGCTCCTGTTGTTGCCCAACATCAGTTTTGCAACATTGTTCGCTTCTCTTTTTGGCGCGTGGCGTGCCACGAATGGCAACGCGGATGAGGATGATGCGCTCGGCTCTGGCGAGGCTAGGGGGCAGACTCCAGAAGGATGCAACTGCCTTGGCGCAAGGACGCCACACACACACACACACAAGGCGAGCCCAATGCCTGGCCTCAGTTTCGGGCTCAGTCTCAGTTTATCTCTGCCAGAGAATTGTTGTGTGCAACGCGGCGGATTTAAAAAAATAAAAATAAAACATAACAGCAATAAAATACAAACTCAAAACTAACAAACTAAAAGAAATCAAATAATTTACAAAAAACTACAAACAAAACTATTTGAAAAAAAAAAACAATAATTAAACAAAAAGAATTTTAACCAAAGTTAACAAAGCGTTTCAGAAACAAAACAAAAACAACCAAAAAATTCTAACAACATTTGTAACACATTTTTTGCATAAACTTTAAAATTATAAATTAAAGTAAGACAATAAGCAATATAATCATTTTTTTATGAATATTTAAAACAAAGAGAGGAAACGAAAACGGAGGAGAAGAAAACAATTTCAAATCTAATAAAAGAAATTAGTTCAAGGTTGCAAAAATGTATTTTGAGTTTTTTATACAAAAGAAATTTTCAATTTTGTTTTTGTGCAACGAAATAAGCAAATGAAACAAGCCAAATGTAAGTGAACTGTGTGAGTGTGTGTGCGTGTATGTGAGTGCCTGTGTGTGTGTGTGTGTGTGTGCTTGTAAAGGCATCAACAACAAACAAAATGAGGCAGCGAGACATGAAAAAGGAAGCTTAAACAAAAAGGCAAAACAAATGCAGTTCAATTCACAATAACAAAAGCAAAACGGCAATAACAACACACACACACACACGTACGAACACATACACATACAGTTAACATAGAACGGAACACACACGAACACAGACACACATTTACATGTCGCTCTCGCTGTTAAGGCAGCGCCTGTTATGTAATATCCTGTTTCTGAAGCTGTCGCCTGTCATGTTACAAGTCCAGCCAGGCAAATGTGTAGCAGCAGTAGCTATATCTATGTGCTAGCGTGTCTGTGCGTGTGTGTGTGGGGGCGTGGCATGCACCTTAGGTGTGCGCTGCTGCTGCTAAAATGATTTATACACTCTGGAAACGCTCCATGGGCACGGCATTGAGACATTAACACGAAGGACGAACCATCCTTTAAATGCACCTAATAGGGACACATTCGCACATCGAATATATATTTATAGTTGGCCATTCTAATGGGGCGTGGATTTTGATTTGTGTGTGTGCGTGTGTGTGTGTGCGTGCGTTAAGCATGCAAATATGTGACACTAATTCGATGAGCAAAATGCTAATATTACGCATTCGCCGCATTGGCCGAAGGTCGTCTCCTATTTCACTTCTATCTGTGTGGCTATTCGGTTTTTGGGCCTTTTTGTTGGCTGGGCCAGCGCCTAATTAATGAAATGTGTGTCATAATGCGACAGGCAGTTAGTAGGTCAAGTGGATTCCATGTTGAGGTTGAGGGCCAAAAACTCTTTCGCATCCAAAAAAGCCCTTGGCCAAAAGCCCCAACCACCGCCCCTTCGCTCCTCCACCAACCACAATTCGCAAAGAGTAAAACAGAAAGAACGAGTAAGTGCGCGTAAAGTAAATAAATAGATGGGCGTTTTCTAGCCAAGTTGAACTACGTAGTCATACATTAGCTTTTAAATGGGCGCAGCTCATTTGGAATTAGCTGTCAGGCTCCAGGGATAATAAATATATAGAGCTGAGGAAATAAAATAGATTTTACTTTTGCAATTACTTTTTGACATCTCCTTAATATTCAACTTAATCAAACATTATCAAATTTAATTTCACTTTATCATATCTAATTGTTTGTGTGTGATTGCTCCTAGATTTTAAGCAGTCTTTATCTAACTGTCAACGCACCTCACCTTTTCACTTTCTAATTTTATTCCTTCAACTCACAAATTATTAAAACTAAAATTCCTTACAATTTTGCACAGGCGTTTTACATATACATATATGATTCTTTATATATAAATCAAAACAAAACAAAAACTGTGGCATGCTTCAAATGGCAGTACTAAATAATCAAATACTAAACGGTGAATGTTCCAACAAGCTAATCTAAAGTTTGTACAAAATAAAACAAATGTCTAAGCTCAACTGAAAACCTCATAAAATCCCCCAAGCAAAAGATAAACAAAATCAGAAAACAAATAAAAACAGTTCCAGTGCTTAAACGACACAAATATTTAATAACTTAAAGCAAAAGCAACTTCAATAAACTTCTTCACTCTCTCAATTTGCACGCCAAACAAGGTAAGTTCAAGGGCACAATTTTAATCAATCTCTATGTTATTTGATATCTTATGCGATTCTCTGTGTTGTGTTTGAACTTTTATGCAATATTTTCGAGCACGTTTAACTTGCAAACTTAGGGCTAGTTATTTGATACACAAGTGAGATAAGTTTAACTAAATATAAGTCTTAAGTTTTGAATGCAAAGCGACTAGCGGTGGGTAATAGTGCTATTTCTTTACTTACATACATAATCGTACATTATTCGAATATATGATAACATTTGGTGCGCATCTCTCCACTCTCAGTCTAGTTCTAAGATTTAACAAGGTGGACCCTAGTAGTACTTCATTATACACTTTATCTGACTATAAGCATTTCATATACCCCTTATTAAAAGGGTAGCTCTTCCACAGCTGCATTCCAGACCGGCAAACCGCGGCACACGTAGACACAGCAATTGTAGATTTTCGGCTCCACTTTGCCCATTTGCACATTGGCCAAAATGGCGCTTAGACTGCCCGTATGATAGTCCAGGTGCTGCTCCAGAGTATCGCTGTTCCCTTTGAGTGCTGCTGTCAAAGATGGCTAATTAGTGAGACTCTATGCATTATCGAAACTCCTACCTTTGACAGTGCCCTGCGAGACCCAAGCCGCGCGATCAATGCTTGTCCAGGGTATGATCTGTTTCTCGACCGGTGCTATCCACTGGCTCAGTATATTGGCGGACACATTATCCATATTGCCATCCAGTGCGGGCATCAATGTGCCCACCACAGTGGGACAGAGCGCGCCATGGTAGTAGTCCTGTGCTCCGTATAAGGCACTGTACAGACCCGAGCTCAGCACGCGCGTCGAGTCGCAGCCGAAAAGAAAGATGACACCCTGGATGCGATTGCGATAAATCAGGCGACTGGAAACATATTGCAGACTCGAGCCGTGACCCGCATAGCTGAAAGAAACCAACTGTATCATCTGTTTACCAGCTGGCTTCCAGGGTTCTACCTACACAAAACAATCGGCCTTGAAAGCCTTTTCAATCATAAACTGCTCCGTGGGCACCGTCTCGAACATATGCTGCCAGTGGCTGAGCCAGTATTCGAGAAAGCTGCGCAGACGACGGCCCGAATTTTGCAGATCAGCATCGGGATTAATGAGTGTTATGCCTTTCTTAATGTCGACCATATAGTAACCGTGCTGAATCTTTGCCTTGTGGTACTTGAACAGGCGCCACAAACTGTGCAGCGATTTGATGCGCGTGCACTCCTGCATGGGCGCCAACTGCTCCCAATGCATATGATCCAGGCGCTGAAAGACAATAAGCATTAGCCGTCTCAGATGTAACATGGAATATGCTCAACCTACCTCATCTACAACCAGTATGATGGGAAAGCGTTTCGCAGCCAGCTGTTGACGCTGCTCGAGTTTCTGCCATTTAGTGGCACAGCTCTTGAGCAGCTCGTAGACGAGCAGCGCCTCAGTCTCATTGTTATTGTTGTTGCTGTTGCTGTTTAGCTCATAGCTCAGCTGTTTCATCTGGTCGTGTGGCAAACGATTCGCATGCAGCGCCGCCTGTGAGAGCAATATACGCTGATGATTGTTCCACCTGTGCTCCACGCAGAACTCATCAACGCGATCAAAAATCAATTTGGTTTGCTGTTGCACTGCAGCATCGGCATAGCGCTTGCCCAGAAACATGAAACAGTAGGGCATGAATACGCTGTTCAGATCGGCAATTAGTTTCTGCAAGGTTTAAAGATTAACAACTATAATCATACAGATAATATATGTGTCAGGCACCTTTAAGTAGTCTTCGAAGGCATGCAACTCTTTCCAGTATTTAGCCTTGGACTCTTGATCCTTTACCGCCAGCGGATCGACTGTGACCACTCGCCGAAATCGCTCCACCATAGTGCTGTACTCCTTAAACAAGCTACCCAGCGCATCGTTATTGAAGTGCAGGCAAGTGGGCTCGAGCTCTGGACTGCGACAGTGCCGTAGAAGAGAAACATAAATGTCGCCATTGGCGGCAGCGATCTCACAAAAGGTGGAGTAAGTGGTGGCCGCATTGAAGCTCTTGCAGAGCTGCAGCACACACCACTCCTCTGGCAGTTGTTGGCAGACCTCTGTGATGCGTGCATAGCCCAACTTTGGATCCTGCACGTCCTGCAGAAAGTCCAAGCTATCGATGACTGTGTTTTTAGGCGTTGTTGTGCGTTCCTCCAATTTCAATTGGTAATTTAATATGTTCTGCAGAAATTTGTTCCTGTTTAACGTAAAAGACAGTTTAGTAATTAGTAAACAAATTATGTGGCATAATTAAATACTATATTTAGCATTTAATATATACAGTATCACCTTTTGTAGTCTGCTTTTTCCTTGGGAGTCGCTTCCAACAATATTTCGGAAGCGTTCGGCAGCTGGTTTTCCAGCTCCTGGGCCTCGGTTAGGAGTCGCATATCTGCGCACTGAAATAGTGCTCTAACTTGATAATAAATCGAATCCTTTTCATTGCCATTGCGATATTCTTCGTCCGCACGCAATAAATTATATTCTGGAGGGGTCGGAATCAAAGCAATTAGACGCTGCTGGAATATTAATTATTTTGCATACCTTTGGTTTCGGGTCCAACTTGCACACTTGTTAAGCTACGCAATTCTTTTTCTGTTGCTTCGGCATCAAACATTCTGTATACAAATGATTTCAATTTAATTTGTAAATTCGAAAAACGGCGCCGTCTGCCACTGCTTTTTGCATGCCACAAGTTGTTGTTGTTTTCACGTTTTGCATGCAGTGTTGGCAGCGGCGTAAAAAGGTACCATTGCGCATCACTGCAAACATCGATAGACACACGCAGCAACGCTGTGGCACGCACTACATCGATAGTGGTGGTAATTTTTAGGGTATTTTTGCGAGTATGGCGGTAATTTTGAATACAGTAAATTCATGAAAAATTAAAGATATTCATATAGTTATATAACATTAGATCAGTGATTGCTGTTAGCAGGTACAAAAATGGCAGTGCCTACAACTACCTTTTGCTTTTCTAAGTAACAATGTTGCAATGCACGTGCCTCAGCTCAGCGTTCACAGCGCAAAAGCTCTGCTCCTGCTATTGTTGTTGTTGCTGACGTGTATTCATTCATAAAAACACGGCAGCATGAAAGTTCTCGTAACGAAGCATCGGCAAAGCTTTGCGCAGCGGCGCAGATGCCCAAACACCCAGCAAACTGTGTCAATCTCGTCTAACACATGTGTTTGCCCGCCTCTGCCTGTGTGTGAGTGTGTATATGTTTGTATGTACATATATATATTTTGTATGTATGTACATACATACATTGTACATTATATTGGCACCCCGGTGAACCACACCCTCCAATTGCCCTAAAAAACCTTACGCAACAACAAAGCGACACACATTGGCAATTATTGCAACAACAACAACAATTACAAGAGCTTTGACATTTTACAGCAAGCAAGGTCCAGCAGATTCTGACTTTTGTTGTTTGGCTTTTTATTTCCTTCTAATTTTTTTTTTGCTGCCGCTGCCCAGGCGCGCCTTTTTGCTGCTCGCTGCAAGCAGCCGCTGCAGTTTCTAATGACGTGTCTTAAAGAGATAACGACAGCAGCAGCAGCAGCAGCCGCAGCAGAGGCACTGACTTTGTGCGTGGGGTGTGCATGTGAATGTATGCGCGTGTGTATGTGTGTGGGAATGCGTGTGAAGGTCTGACGTCAGTGAGCCTGGCGCATCCCGTTTGTGTCTACGCGTGTGTGTGTGTGTGAGTGTGCGTGCTCCGTTACTTTTTGTTTTTGTTAGCCGCCGCCCAGCTGCAACTGCAACCTGCAGCTTGAACGCGTCGCGACGCTGCCTTTGCCCCCGCCAGCTGCTGCCTAGCATCAAGAGCTGCCGCCCCGCTCATCGGCCTTTCATTCTCCTGGGTGCTTCGGGCCGGTCTAAGGCTGTCAATTATGTATTTATTGGCAAATGAATGCAGTGCCCAAGCAGTGGCAGGCAGCATTATTATTATTGATGCAGCATCCCCAGCAAATGGAAACACATTGATAACTTGACGAGTCTTTCGTTAAATATTGAAAAGACGCCGACGCACTAGGCCGCTCTCGCTCTCGCTCTTCCCCTCTCTCTCGCTCGCTCACATTCGCATCCTCTCTGTTTGTCTTTCTCTGTCTGTCGTGCAATTTGCTTTTGCTACTTTGTGTTTGTTGTGTATTGTTGCGCTGCTGGCGTCGCAGTTAACGCCGCCATCGCCGTTGACGTCGCTGCTGGCCCGTTGGCCGCAGAGCACTCAGCATCCTTTCTACTTATTAATTTTGATGTTGCTTTTCACTTTTACTTTGTGTATGTTAAACGTGCCTCAGTCAGACGCTAACATTTCGTGTGTGGGTGGATATGACTCTGACTCTGGAGTGTGGCTGTGTGTGCGAGTGTGTGGCTGTGTGCGTGTGTGCATGTGTGTCCCATGATAATCATCTGTTATTATTGTTGCTGTTGCCGTTCTTGCGGTTAGTTAAAATTGCAATAGTTTTGTTGTTGGGGTCATAAAAAGTTGACTTGTTGTTTGAAGCGCACGTTCAATCTGTTTGACCAGTGACCATTTGCACCACAGCACCATTAACCAAACACCCACTCGCCCACAAGAACCACCTGGCAACCCTCTGCATTATTTATGGGCCACAGCCAATGCAAAAAACTTGGCACGTACATACATTCATGTCTTCGGTGTGTTTGTGTGTGTGTGTGTGTGGAGCTTGCGAGCGGGTTGAGTACGTCGTCGTACGCCTAGCAAATTATAACATTAATATTACATTAACGCACACAAACGTGCATGCTCACACACACACACACACACACACACGCATTCGCACACACATGCATCGGGGAGACATTAAAACGAAACAGAATGGCAAAAACTTTCATTTGACGTCCTAACAGCAACAACAACGACAGCAACAGCACGCGACATGTAAAATAAATGTAACAAAATGCGTCCGAACACTAAACAGAAACAGAAAGAAGCAGCAGAAACAGTAGAAACACAGCAGAAGAGACGGCGGCAGCAGCATCAACACAAAAACAACAAAAGGCCGTCAAGAGCAGAGCCAGAGCCAAAAACAGAGGCAGAGGCAGCGAGCGAGCGGCAGCAGCCACCCCAAAAAATGTGGCACACATTCCAACAGTTGCAGCGATGCTGACGTCGACAGCGAGGCACAGCAGAGATGCCGCTGCCAGCTGATGTTGCTGCTGCTGCTGCTGCTACTGCTGCTCCTGTTCGTTCTGCTCTGCTCGCAAAGTCAAAGCGATTTTCGAAGTCGACGGTTGTGTGGCTCGCGCTGCTTGCTCCGGTGCTGCTTTCTGAAGCAACTGACAAAACGCTTTTAACACTTAAAAAATATACACCAACACACACGCACGTACACAGAAACATATATACCACACTCACACACACTTATACTCAAACCACATTCTGGCCAAACTGCAAAAATTGTAAGCGAAAAATCAACAACAGAAGCGAGCGAAGCGTGTGAAAAAAGTGTAGCATGCTTTTAGGCAGCGCACAAAAATAACAGCAACGGCGAAATAAGTTTAGAATTTGGCAATTGCCAAATGCAAAAGCTGTGCGTAAAGTGTTTTGAAACAAAAATTGACATTTAAGTAAATTAAGGTGTGGTGATTTATGCAACTTTTTAGCCACACGCACGAGCACAGGGCGGCGACAGACACATACATAAGCGGGCCGAGGGGGTCAGAGTGGAGAGCAGCAGCAGCAGCAGCCAACGACTGCACATACCTCTAAGCTAAGGCACACACACGCACACACGCACACACACACACACATACACAAACACGAAGAGCGGAGGCATACAAAATAAAGGATAACGACGAACGAGCAACGCAAAAGCAAGAAAGAAATCGAAATTAAAATATATGTTGTACAACAAAAACAACAAGAACAACAACAGCAACAGAGCAGGCAATTTTCGGCTGTCGCTGTAATTCGAAGCTCATCTGCGCTGCTTTGCTCTCTGCTGCTCCGACGGCGGCTGCTGTGCGGCTGCCGCTGCCTCTCTGCCTCTCTGGCTGTCTGCTTTACCTCTGCTTTTTGCTCTCTCTCTCGCTCTCTCTGTGCTTCGTCAAGTGAAAACATTTCGTTTCGTCAAGTTTTGTAGGTATTTTGGCAGGCCAGAAGGCAGCTACACACACAAATCCACAGAGCGACGACATGTCCTCATCATCTGCTATTGCTGCCGCTGTTCCTGTGAATAAAAAATCTAAATAATTATTAATAAAAACCGAATCGAAAAACACTTAAAGGCACTGCAAATAACATGCATAAATAATAACAAACAAATTACACCAAAACACACACACACAAGTGCACAAGGAATTGCAGCAAACCAAAAAAAAAAAAAAAGAAGGAGAAGAACAATTTTTTGTGTGTGTTTTTGCGAATAGGCAAAAGGCGTTGCCAAATCAAAAGCAGCAGCACACAGATTGTTGAAATAAATGAATAAATATATAAATCTCTACTAAACGCAATCATAACTTAAACGAAACAGGCACAAAGTAACTAATATAAATATTTATAACTGAAAAGAGCTAGAGAACTGCAAGCAAATAAATTATTCATACGCACCGTTAAACAAAACAGCAACACAGCAAACGCACCAAAAGTGAAATTTTCAAGTGACATTGTGAAAGGCAGCCACAATCCAGGCTGCATTAATAAAACATACAACAATCATATAGCATATAGGATACAAAGGATAAAAGGAGTCGGCACAGGAGGCGCTCTGCCTGTTCTATTATTTAACTGCTTACAACAGACGTTTTCAACTGGACGAAAGCTGATTGAAAGCCGCTTTCAACAGCAGCATCCGTCGTTCACTAATACTCAACGCGAGGGAGAGAGAGAGCGAGAGCGCACAAAATAGTGAGAGGGAGAGACGGAGAGCGTGATAGCAGCAGCGACGTCAACGTCAATCCGCTCAATATTTATATTGCACGAGACCAATTCGCGATTCACGCTCCAACTGCTGACGACTCAGACGCAGACGCCACTGGAGGTCCTGGGTATCAGACTGTGGCTCTGGTTCATCTGGTGCCTGGTCCAGCCACAGCACCAAAATAAATAACATCTGACAGCTGCTGCCTGTCTCCTGCTACTGCGCCCACACCAGCTCGCATCCAGTCGAGTGGACTCAACTCTCTAGTGCACAATTCGCAGAGGCCCAAGCAATATTTCCGCCAGACAAATACGCTACAGCTGTAACTGCAATCGACTACTACAATCAGCCACAACAAACTAGCAATAACGGTAGAAACAAACCAAAAAAGAAATAATAAACAACTAAAAAACACGCAATGGGTGCCAAGGAAAGTGTCGAGGCAGCCGTCAAAATGAATGCCGATGGCTGGGGCCACGTGGAGGTGTGTATACAAAACAATAATAATAACAAGCACATTATTATTTTTATAAGTCCATCAGTTGCCAGTGATAAACTATATATATAAGTGTTTATTGTGATTCTATATATTTGTTTACTGAAGCAATCTCTCTTGCTGCTACTCTGAGCTCTGAAATATTTACACTCTGCTGTCTCTAGAAGGACTAGTTGAATTTGTATATATGAATTTGTGCTAAGTCTTTAATAATTGATATTCATTATCGATTTAGCATTTCTTTAGGTGTTTCCTGGCCTTTCCGCAATATCTTTAAATTTGCAAACGAATTTTCACTCTACACCTATATATTCTTCTACCATTTATAATATTTTCCTATACTTTCAATTTATTATTATTTTAATATTTATTTATATATTTTATAGTTGCCTTTTTAGATTTATTCGGAATTTAATTTAATTTATTCAGGCCTTTATAACTCTATCTAAACTTCCCTAATTTTCACAGAGATAAACATTCCTTGAATAATATACAAATATTTATTTAGACATTTTATTTTTCTTTAATTAAATTTCCATTTTATATTCACATTTCAGTTTAATTACTAAATATAAGCGAACAGCTCGGTATCTAATCTGTCTAAATCTTTCAAAATTTGCCATCTGAAACATATTTATACACTAACTGCCTTTAATTATTTTGTATTGCAATTTTCAGTTACTACCCCATAAAGTTCACAAATATTAGAGCTCTTAACCCATCCAACGTTATACATATATGCAATCATGCGTTAGTCATCTCTTACTCTATCATGCTGTCAATCGCACTGGTGCTCCCAGTCCAATTTGTCAAGTGCTGAAGGGGGCAGCGTCTGTGTGGCAAGTGTGACCCAAAAAATGGGCAGAGCTGTCGCCACCTTCGCTCCTTATTGCGATTTGATGATGCCACACTGCGACAATTGAGATTGAGCGACTGAGCGCTATTTGATTGATTTTAAAAATAAATTTCAACAAAGACAAAACACAAAAAAAAATAATAAAAACAAAAAGCAAGCAAGCAAGCACGTGCAGTGCTGTGTGGCATCCACTTGATGGGGCAGCAGCCACAGCAAGCGGGCCAGACGAAATTTCCGTCTGGTTATCGCCCAGATCTCTCTGCAGCTCTTGAGCGCAGCCGACACAGATGCTGTGCGTGTGTGTGTGTGTGGGCGAGATCGTGTGGAGACAATGAGGCTGCTGCATAAGATTTACAGTTGATGTGGAGAGCTGCTCAACATCGTGAGAAGCAGAGACGAAGATCCAAAGAGTACAAGAGTCTCTCTCTCGCTCTCGCTCTCTCTCTCGCTCTCTCACTCTAGCGTTACGTAGCGGCTGAATGAATGAATGAAAATGCGCTTTGATTTTTCAACCGATTTGCGTGTGTTTTTAGTTGTTTGCTTGAGTCGGTGGCGTGTATTTCGAATGCTCTTTTGGCACACACTAGTTCGATTTTGTTTATATAAATACAATAATTAAACGCAACCCATGACCGCAGCCAGGTCGTAAACAGGTGTCTGTGCTTGTCTCAACGCCGGAGGCTGTAAACAAAAATAGATAACAGCCAAAAAACATATATATAAATATATATAATAAACAACAAATGTGGTCAGCAACAGGCTGCAGACAGCCAAAAATTAAAATTAAACTCTATTGTAGACATATATATATATACATTTAGTTCATATACATACATATATATATGGTCTTAAGGTGTAGCAGAGGAATTTTAAAATTAAATTCATATAAATAAGTGCGACAGCCGCAAACTTTCAATGTGCAACATCTGTGAGTGCTCAAGTGTGTGTGCTGGTATGTGTGTGTGTGTGTGTGTCAAAGAACATAAAACTCACCGATCAGATCAAATCATAAACATCTAAATCAAAGCAAAACTTCAAAGCGCTGAGGTGTTTTTTTTTTGTTTTTTATTTTTTGTATTTTCTTTTTCATTTGTTTTCTGTTGACACCTACACGTTAGAGTCGCTGCAGCATGCGGCATGTGGCAGGGGGCGCGGAGTGCATTTTGGTCAGCAATAGCGTTGAACTCGCTGCGTTCGCACCTCGAAATTGAGAGAGTGAGAGAGAGAGAGAGAGAGAGAGAGAGAGAGAGACGTGTTGGTGATAATAGCCATCAGCTGCAGCCGGCGTGGGTTGTTTCATAGATTGATCAAAGAGTCGGGTGATTAAATATTAATGTGTGTGTGCGGGTGTGTGTGTGTGTGTGGCTCAAAGCTGTTTAATTTATGCTTTGTGCTTAAATACCTATTTGATATATGTAATATGTCTTGCATTGAAATTCTTTCGGCATTGCATGCTGCGATAAATCAGCCTCTGCCTTATATATTTGTTGCGTGGAAATGTTGAATGGTAGCTCAATCAAGGGCATTAAAGTTAATTTAGGTAAAAGTGTCTATTGAAGTAAATATAAGAATATGCTATTTGAATGTTGAGTATGCATAAATGTACATAATTTATTTTTGCTAATTAGCAGACTATAAAAGTTTTCACTATATACATTGTCCTAAGAGCAAAAGACTTTTAGAAGACTTTTGTATAAAAATAAATAAATTCTGATTGTTGTTCGATAGTCCATAGTTAATAAAAACAAATTTAATTAAGGTAAGATTAAGCTTTCAAGATCAAAAACTACAAATTTGATAGTTTATTGTGAAATAGGCCCTGATTTTCACATAAAACTAAGTTCTTTACCTTAGAGTATCTTTTGTATTCTAAGCTATATATATAAATAATATTTTTATTAATTTATAAGTAACTATTCATTCTTAAGCAAAAGTCTATCAAATAAGCTCAATTGGAATTTTAGGCAATTTATATATATATAAAAAAAAAAAACAAATTATATGAAATAACTAGACTAGACTAGAAATAAAATTACAATATAAATTTAATCGTATCCTATTGTATATGATTTTCCTTCTACAGACTGTTAACATATCTAATCCATAAAATTAACTCACACTCTTCTCTCTTTCTCTCTCTCCGTCTGTCTCTGTCTCTGTTGCACCTGCAGCGCGGCAGTCGCTACCACGGCCATCGGCATAATCAACGTTCGCAGTCGCTAAATCGCGGCCAGGCGCTCTCGCAGGCGGACGTGACCGGCATGTGGTGACATCGGGGTGCCTCTGGTAAAGGTAAGACTCTCACCACTATATACCTATATCACCTATATGCATAACTGATCCATCGACATTTAACACACTCTATAGGAGCTGCGGCGGGCTGTGCTAACTGCGCCATGGGCAACAAATTGAGCTGTTCGTGTGCGCCTCTGATGCGCAAGGCTTATCGCTATGAGGATTCACCCTGGCAGAGCTCTCGTCGTCGCGATGGTCATCTCTTAAGGTGAGTGGGCGTGGCTGGCATTGATGGCCGTCAACCGTTATAAATCCTTCTAGACTCTTTTGTTCTCCGACTGCCTGTAAATATTTATATATGTACATATATGTGAATGGATTGAAACAACTACAACAACAATAACAATAACAAACAACTAACTCAAAAACAATTGAATTCGCTATTTCGATCAACTTTTGTAATTTAACTAATTGTGTTCTTCTTCTGGTTTTTCTTTCTTTCAAAAAACAAAAAATCTAAATGTAAAAAAAAAAAAACAAAAACAAAAACGAAAAACTTTCGACTTTTTGCCCACACTTTCAACAACCAACACACAACCCACACTGCCTAATCTAAATTGTTGGGCGCAACAACAACTACAACAACAACAACAACAACAACAACAACTATAACAAATCTGCAACAACTTTTCCTTCCTAAACGACTGCAACTGCAACAACTACAACAACAACTGTCAAACCGTGCTTCCCCACTTTGATTTTACTTTCAATTCAATCGATCCTCCAAAATCAAACTTCCTCAACCACAAACTTGCACCAAACTCAATCAATTGGATGAACCAAAAAACCAACAACAACTTTTGCAATAATCAATTTGTCAACAAACGTTTTATTAACCAACGCCTAGTTCGTTCAGGTTGTGGGCTGAGGTCTTTCACGTATCGGCAAGCGGCGCCGGCACCGTCAAGTGGCAACAAGTGTCTGAAGATTTGGTTCCTGTTAACATTACCTGCATTCAGGACTCGCCCGAGTGCATCTTTCACATCACCGCGTACAACAGCCAGGTGGACAAGATACTCGATGTGCGACTTGTGCAGCCAGGTGAGAATGACCACCCCCCTCACACTGTTTACCTTTGCTAATTGAAAATTGCATTATCCCTCTCCCTCCCTCTCTCTCTCTCTATCTCTATCTCTCTGTGGTATTTGCAGGCACACGCATTGGCCAGGCATCGGAATGCTTTGTTTACTGGAAGGATCCAATGACTAACGATACTTGGGGCCTCAATTTCACATCGCCCATCGATGCCAAACAGTTTCGGGAATGCTGTGTAAGTATTCTCTTACAGTTTGCTGCATATTGCAAACGCGACGATGACAAGCAACCACCTCAACTGATACCTCAACCAAAGAACCACCTCAGCCAACAACCACAAAAACAAACACTAAAGCAATACACACACACACACACACGCACACACACAGAGTAACACTATTTAACAAGTAACAAACACTTTGGAGCAGTTTGAATGCTGCCACAAATGCAAACAACCAGTTGATGATGATGTTGATGATGATGATGATGATGATGATGCTGTGATGATGACCGACGGTGATGAATGTTGAATTAATGAACTAATGATGATGATTATGTTCCATAAACCACTAACAATATAAATGAATATATATACATATATTTTCAAAATTACTCGAATAGCTCCGGCCATAGCTATAAAACGTGTGAAATCATTCAAAGTACGCGCAATAGCTTCAATTCATGCCATGCCATTAGTCACAGTCAGTATCAGTCGTAGTCACTGTCGCAGTCACAGTCACAGTCACAGTCACAGTCACAGTCACAGTCGCTGTTACAACATAAAGACAGATAGACAGACATATAGACACAGATACAGTTACAATTACAGTTACAGACACAGACACCGCTCTCAAAACTGCTTAAACAAGAACTGCTCCCGTTGAATATACCTGTACAAGTATATATACTCTATATATATATATATATATTCTCGTTCTTAGTTGACCAACATCAGACATACATATAATAAATATATATACGTTGAATAATCAAAATTTGGTATCGTACTTGAAAATTCGAATTTTGTGTTTTGTATTGAGTTTCTGTTCTCCTCTCGTTTGAAATATCCATCCATTTTGTAAACAATTTGGACAACAACTCTAAAGTAATACCTACCCACATATATATAGTAGTGCTTAAACCGCTTTTACACGTTGAATTGAATATAAACACAAGAGAAAATGATCAGAGATTGAAAGAGAATCCAAATGAGAGACATATAAAAAAAGCTAAAGCTCGCTTCTACTTCCATTTCCGATCAATTTCTTAACCAGACTGAAGACACTCACACACACACACACAGACACACACTACTGACTCTCACAGCAACAACAACAACAACTAGATTTACTATTCACTCATTTAGTCAACATAAACTGTCTGGATTTAGTATCTAATAATTGTTTCGTTTCTTTTCTTACTTTGCGCCTCATTTGTTGCAGGTATCTTACATTGTAAAAAAATACGTTAGTATCGCTTCATATTGTTTATTTGTCAAAACACACTACTACTACAAACTCAACAACTAAATACAAACTGCTGCTAACTAAGACTAACTACTACTATTAAAATAACTAATTAATAACTATGTTTTTTTTTGAACCATCACAGCAGAGAAAACAAAGAACTCTCTAATGATCAAATCATTTATATATACTATATATAGAGAGAGAGACAGCCTCTCTAAATGTATTTAAGTTTTGAAATATCCCCATTCAAGTAGCGCTTCCCTATTGTCGGGCATGTATAAGAACTCTACCTACATACATACACATACACACACGCTATCTGTTTTTCTTTCACACACACACACACACACACAAACACACATAACAGTGTCCTTAAGTGTCGTTACTGTTTTGTAAGCTTTTCACTTTTATGTGTCTTAAACCCTCCTACTCTATCGCCAACCGAAACGCTCTCTCTGTGTACGCTCCTCAATCACAAGTTTCTCAACCCGGTTAATCACATAACTCACGCATACCATAACAGTTAAATGTATTATATACTAGCCAATTGATGCCCAGCAACAAATAAACTCATAAGTGTTCAAAGTTCCTATTAATTCTTGTTGTGTGTGTGTGTATTTTGAAAGTTCCAAAGGTTCCAACAACTACTATTTGTATTTAACTCTATAGCACACACACACGCATACATACACAGTGAACCCACACACACACACACAAACACAAACTGACGTCACTTACACATACAGTTACACGCACACCCACTAAAATTTGTTAAATGTATTTATATTATATATTCTTTCATTTCTTTTTCTCTCTTCTAATCATTTTCGAATTCATTCTCGAAACACGCCAAAAAAAAAACTATTTAAAAAAAAAATTTGTGTATATATATAAATATATATATAAAAAATACCAAACTAAATTCGTTTTCAAATCTTTCATTTTTGATGCATTTCATTTGATACTTAAAAAATACAACAAAAAACTACCAAATGTCGTACTTGAATTTGAAATGTAACGAAAACATATACTATGTTGTCGCAAACAACGATTAACAAACGACCAACCATATAAATTGAATACTCTACACGCAACAATAACGAATACAACAACAACTACAACAACAAACAAACAACAATTAACCAATGAACAACAACAATTTTGAATACATTTCTAAATGTACACCACTTACAAATCTATCTATCTACTATCTATGAAACTCTGTCCCACCCGAAATGCTTTTATTATCTAACATCAATTTTATTTAACTACTCTATCTCTCTTAACTATATATTTATGTATGTATAAATATATATTTTCAACTCGATTCGTTTGCATTTGACACGTGCGCAAAAAAACAAAACCAAAATCAAAAACTAATTTAAATGATAAATGATTATAAATGTATAAATATAAAATTGATATCTTGCAATACAAACATGAAAAATTCGATGAATTGAATGATAATTGTATTAAAATCGAATTGCCAAAACGTACAATGAAAATGCAAAAGAAAAACGCAAAACGCTTTAAAACAATCGCACGTATCCTCTACTACAATACCGTTACCTATCCACTGCAAACCGTTTCCGACGAGCCCTAAGTTCCCCAACAACCCACCCAGCCCCAAGAACCTCATCCCCCCAGCCAAGTGGGCGGTTTAAATACGCAAATGAAAATCAAATATCGAAACAACTTTCAAAAACAATGCAAAATTTTTGAATCGTATCAAATGTTAGCAGCGCTAGGAAGCTGAAGAGTGTAGCTAGCGACCAGCTATGTTTGAGAATCGCCAAGAGAGGCGACTAAATAAACAGTTAACCAATTGAGTATAGCCAAGTGCCAAAAGAGAAGGCCAAAGATAGTATATTAAATATATTCTCGCAACATAGTTTTAAGGTTTCTAAAACCAAAATCAAATCGAAATCGAAATCAAAATCGAAGCAACACGCACAGGCTCACAATAATTGTTCTCGCAGCAAGTTAATCAAAAATAGGCATATATATTTAAAGCTAAGTGTTGAAAATTGTTAGGTTAAGTTGAAAGTTTAAATGTTATTCGATGAAATTAAATCAAATCAAGTCGAATCGAATTAGATCAAGTGAATTTAGTTGTAAGTGCGCCTAGCGCCCTAATATGCTTCCTCGAGCCTCACTGCGCAGAGATTAGCTCTTTAAAGTAAAGTATACCCTGCTTAATGCAATGCACTCTTAAGGCTTCACAAACCTAACTAAACTCGTAACTACCAACTAACTAAGCAACTAACTAACTAACTAACTAATGCTTGTATGTGTATGTTTGTCTACTTCACTTAACTATCTATTTCTATGTCTAATCTAAAATACATCTCTATATATATTTATATATGTACTCAAGCCTTGAGCACTTCTCTAGTTGTACTACTCTATGTAAACTCTATGCACTCTTCTAATAGTTCTATAAGTCCTATAAAAATCACACACGAAGCAACTGCAACAGCCACAGTCACAGCCACAGCCGATAGTACGGCTATTTTTCGCCAAGTCGGAACGACTTGAGCCAGTCATGCATAGATCTATCAGATCTATGTCGATCTAGGCAGCTAAAGAGAGAAAAATTTTTGAAAGCAGAGAAAGCAGAAACCGCACACACAGAACCTTGTAATCCCAATCAACTAACCTAATGATAGTGCGACGTTTTACAGTCGCCTTCTTTCAAATTTTCACGAAAGGCCTCGTCGAGCTACTCCCTGAAACTGGATCCGCCGGGCAAGGGCAAGGTGAAGGCCAAGCGAAAGCCTCTCAGCACTCCGGCGTCGCCGTCGCGCGTGCGCCAAGAGCCCCAATGCACCTGCATGTCCGCCGAGCAGTATGCGCGCTTGAGAACCGATCCACGTGTTAGAGGTGAGAGAACAAACCAATCCAAAAACTAAGACTAAATACTACAAAACAAAAAACTAAAAAAAAACCCAAGTCAAAACTGAAAGCAAAACCAATTCTCAGCCAAATCGAATCGAATAAGCAAATCGGTTAAGTCAATTCAGTCAACGAGCTATTCCGTCTCGTACTACCCCAAAACATTGATCCCTTCACTATTGCTTTACGTCTCCAGTTCATGTTTCTTCGAATGATTTGCTTTAACGCGACGATCTCTATTTTTTCTCACTCTCCCTCTCTCTCTCTCTCTCTCTCTCTCGGTCTATATGGGGCATGTTTCGCCCGTATAGTTGTGCTAGTTAACCGTTTGATTTACGCTTAGCCCCCGTCTCTTCACATATATATAAATAAGTAATACAATGTAGCCCCGCCACTCTACAATTAGAGATTAGGAGCCAACTCCACCGCATCCCACCCATCAAATCTCATCGCCATACTCATTGCAGGTTCATCCACATTGCCGCGTAATGTCGGCTCCCACAGAATCACCGATGTCGATGGCCAGCAGCAGGGCAAAGTTGTAAGCGCCGTGAGCAGCACCTCGCTCTATGATAATGTGGCTAGCGGTGGGCCGGGCGTGGTCCAAGGAGGCGGTAAGTAATTGGAGAGCGTAGAGAATGGTATAATATGAATATATAAACTAAAATTTAGTATAAATTAGTTCACTCAATGAACAAGTAAATATTGCGAACCTCTCTGTCTTAAGTCAACTTGTAATGCATGTAAATCAAATTTATTTAGATTTTCTATTTTTATTTTCAACAATTTATCATTAGTTTTGCTCCACTGTGCAATGTCTTTTGCCAGCTCTGATTTGATATACGATCCTAATAAAATGCTAAATTCGCTCTACCCCTTTCTCTCTCTCCTTCTCTCTTTCCCCCTCTATATTTCTCCTCGCTCCCACAGATACCCTACAACGTCAGCTCAAAGGGCAAGACGGCTCGATGGTGGCCAATGCGGGCGTCAATACCAACACACCGGGCGTCATTGTCACCGGCGTGGGCAGCGGCTCGGACATGTGCACACAGAATCATGTGGGCTCCCAGGTGGGCCCAGACGATGCCGGCGCCTGCCAAATGGATATGGATCTGTCGAAGAGCGAGGGCACCCAGGTTGGCGGCGGACTGCACCAGAGCGTGGGCACCTCCACCAAGTCGACCGGCACACGCACCAAGGATTTCAACGATGATATGGTAAGTGAAGCCTACCAGTCGCTCGCCGAGCTGCGAGCTGGGAGCTGTCTGTCTGCGCCAACCACCTAATCTATCTCTTTATCACTCACACACACACATTTGCAGACACGCGACGCGCACTCGCACGATATGCACCACCAGCACAACGTAATCAACAACAACACACGACGCAAGACCAAGAGCACCGAGGACATGAACGTCGACACGAGCACACTAAAGCGCATGCTAAAGCCGATGCCCAGCACCGAGAGCCCCGTCACGTCGCCGGAGATGGGGCGACGCCGCTACAACTACTACAATGCCAATGGCGCACAAACGCTGGGGCCGCAGCACATGCATCAGCACGGCATGGGCATGGGCATGGGCGTGGGCGTGGGCGTCGGCGGTGGGCCCGGAGGTGGAGGTGGCGGTGCTGGCGGCGGCCATCACGTCATGAACAACAATACCATGGGCCGCAACAGCGGCAGTCAGTCGTCGCGCTTCTCCGGCTCGAGGTGAGTTTTGTGTCCGGAAATTGTGTGGGCCTGTTGCCACTAAATTCGTTTCTTGAACCCGGACAGATCTTCGCATGAAATCGGTCGCGGCTATCCGCCGCGCAATCTGTACTTGGAATTGGAGCGAGAGCGCGAGCGCAGCTGCATCGAGGGCTCGCCGCCATCGGATAACGTGATGTTCGACAACCAGTGCTATGCGACCACGCCCAGCTCCAGCAACGGCAACTCCGATCAGGATCAGTCGTATGGGCAGCAGCAGCAGCCACAGCAGCCGCATCCACAGCAGCAGTCGCATCAGCCGCATCAGCCGCATCCGCCGCACCCACAGCAGCGGGCATCCAGGCATCAGCATCATCAGCATCAGCAGGCGCCCAATGTGACGCCCACACCGGGCAGCCCCACCTCGCGGCTGCTCATGGAGTACGAGATGCACTTGCGTAATACCCTGGCCAAGGGCATGGACGCCGAGTCCTATAGCCTGCATACGTTCGAGGCTCTGCTCTCCCAGAGCATGGAGAATCTGGGTGAGTTGCCCTGGCCACACCCTGTCAGCTCACTTGCAGGCTTCGATTTAGTTTTAGTTTTAGTTTTTGGGTTTGGTTTCGCTTAGGTTTTCGCTTTGGTTCACATTCGATTCCGTTCGATTTGCTGTACGCGTAGCCAATTTGGTTTGAACTCAACTTTTTGTTCTCTCGTTGTTGTTGTAGCTGAACATTTCGTCTTGTTCTTGCTCTTCCACTTCTTGTTCTTCTGTTTTTTTTTTGTTTTTTTTTTTTCGAACCACCAACCTCCTCCCAGCCACCCACTTGCTATCATTTTATTGTACGCCCCCTCTCTAATCGAATTTTTAATTAGCTTGAGCTCGAATGTTGTTTTTCACTTCGTGCCCTCGTCAATGTCTCCAATCAAGTCGCTTCTTCATGTAACACTTGAATTTGATAGAACGGGGATAAAGAGACAGACAAAAAGCGAACAGCTGGCATACCGTATAGCTAGCTAGCTGGACAGAGATAATCTGATTAATGCGGCTTGCCTTTCATTCCCACCATTTCGCAGGGCAAACAGCACAAGAATGGAATTCGTGCTGAAATCAGAATGGCTTTGTTAGCTTAATGCAGCGAGACTGCAGAGCTGGCAATAGTTAATTAAGACTACTATTTATAATCTGTATTCAAGAGCTTGACTGCTGCTACAGCCAAAGATATCATATAGATTAGGTATATCTGTATATCATAGTCTCTCTCCACAACTAAACTCAACTCAACTCTCTTTTAAATGTTATGCGGCATATTTTTTAATTTTCTGTCAACCAAATATTTTTATAATTCTAGATGTGATTTCGTTTGTATGATTTGTCTTTTTGCTATCGTAAAACTTCTCTCTAACTTTCTGTCTCTTTTAATATAAATATTTAAATAATTAAAACTTAAATGCTATCCATACATATCACAATATGCTCATCATGCGCCCTCGCACACAATCAACCAACACAATAACCATACAACAACAACAACAACAACCTAATCACTATCAACAACAACAACCACCACCACCACCACTACCAAACAACTATCATCAGAATTCGCTGAAAGCCTACCAGGATCAACACAGCGCAGCCCATATCCACTACGTAGGCGTAAGTAGTTCCATTGAATGCACGTCTCTTAACTAATGCCAACTATCCCAAATAAAAAGCCCATTAAATATATATTCGAAGAGAACTGAAATGCTGATGCTTGCCCTTAGCTGTTGTATTTTAATTAGTTTCTATATGGCTGGCTATACGCGAATTATGCTCATTCATTTCGTTTTGTTTCTCGCCTTAGCCAATGCGAAATCTTCAACCTTGCCGCTGCCGCCGCATCGCCCCCTATCCACCATACGGGATAAGGAACGCGATCGTGATCGGGATGGCTATTACAGCGATCGCAACGAATTGATTCGCGAGCGTGAACGGGAAAGGGATCGCGGCTATCTGTCCGATCACAATGCTAGGTAAGTGTCATAGAGAATAGTATGTGTGAGTGATTATACTAATTGTATATTCCATTTCAGTTTCTCGAATTCTCGCTGTGCCAGCTGCATTGGTGAATCGGCACGTGCTCAGTGGTTCCGTCATTCGGATGGCTGGCGTTCGGGCAGCTCGACCATTGGTTCCGGTTCCGGCCACGGCATGATGGCCCAGCAAATGGCCGGCTCCGGTCACAAGCGTTCGCCCTGGGACTCGCTGCCGTCGCTGCGCCAAGACAGCAGCCTCAACGATTCCGGCTATAAGAGTGCACGCGCTGACTCCTTGGAGCAACGGTAGCTATTCTTACATATTAAATATCTGAAATATGTGCTAATGATTTCTCTTCCTCTTCGCAGTGCTGAATTTATACGTCAGGATAGTTTGCGATCAGAGTATTTGAGCGATCGCGAATCACGCTATGGAATTGTACAACAGGCCTCTATAGAGAGCACCGATTCGCGCATGTGTTATCTCACATCGTCAGAGGTAAGTGAAAAAAACCCTTTTACTATATCCTCGATTGTAATTGATTCGCCAAGGCACTTGAACTTATCGAAATACCTTTTGCCTGTCTTTCAAACAGTTAACTGCAAATTCACAAACCAAATATCTTATCAAATATCTTAGCTAAACTTCCACTTCTTGCGTATTCAGCAAATCCCTTAGCTAAACTTTTCCGTAGAAATAACCAAAACTCTTGTAGAACTTTTAATAGCTATCTCAATCACGATTCGAAGGCAGTTCAACGGCCTGTTGATTGCTTTGAGAGCACCTCGAGCCTTGGCTTAAAACTTATCCATCAAGTTTTCAATACACATTCTCTCTCTCTCTCTCTCTCTCTCTCTATCTCTCTCGCTCACTTCACTTCTGTCGTGCAAACGTCTTAAGCTCTTTATAAATACCAATTTAATTCGCATAAGCCTTTGTGCTGCCAATTGCCTGCAACGTAATGGCCCGAAATCCATCATAAAACCCAGCCCGAATGCAGCTTCTGTAGAGTGGAGTCTGCCCAGTTCTCGCCTCTCCAAGCACAGAGGGCAACTGTATACTGCGCTCTATTTATAGGCAGACCGGGGCCAGGCAACTGGGTCAACTTTAGCAGAACTTTAACTGGCGCTGTTAGAGCGCTAACATTACTCTGTTAGCTAACAGTCGCGCTCATCGTTTACAGCTGTGAGTGCTGTGAATTTGTGTAGCAATTAACACAGCATCCAATAGCAACTGTATAAGTGAGACAGCGTGAGTGAGTGTGTGTGTGTGAGTGTAAAAGAGTCGCAAATATGTGCATATTCCATATATATATGTATATGTATTTATATTTGGGTACACAATGCATTCACACACACACACACACACAAAAAAGGAAAATAAATAAATAAAATGAAGAGGAGGGAAAGTCAACTGGCGCATTTGGCTGAGCTACATAAATGATATTTTTAGTTGCAGCCCAAACTGACCCAGTTTTGCCTTGATTAAAAACAAACTGCCAGGCATGGCATACACACACACACACACACTCCTAAGCATACACAGTTACAGGCAGGCGCCCCCTTTGCAAAAAAGGAGGAAAACTTTCTCTGTTGCAACTCCCTCGGCTTGCAGCCTTGTCAACGTCAACGCCGCTGCCTGCCTGACTGCCTACTGCTCGTAATCATGACAATGATGATGACGATGAGGATGGTGATAATGTTGATGTTGATGCTAATGATGACGATGTTCAAAATGTGCAAGTGCTTTCTGGCTGCATATGAAATTGCTGTGCAGCCGCTCAACGCTTTTGTCTGCTTTGTCGCCTTGGACTCGGGGCACGACCCGGCTTGTCAAGCCGGCTAATGTGTGTGTGTGTTGGTGTGTGTGGGCGTGGCATGCATAATGCATGTGAGGCTGTAATGTGCATACTTGTGGCACGCTTACAGCCATTTTTGATCTCTTTGCCTTGACACTAATGAGGCGCAGCAGCAACGATGTCGCGTCCACTTCAATGCAGTCACGCATCATTGAGCAGCATCAGCAGTAACAGCAGCAGTAACAGCAACAGCAGCAGCAGCATCAGCCCAGGCGCACGTATACTGAGACAACAGTTGAGCGCTGTTAATTGCAATAAAACTTCCATTGTTACACTGACACATAATCCGCATAACAGCCGTCCCACTCTCTCCCTTTGGTGCTCTCTCTGTCGCTCTCTTTCCCATTCTTCACTATATACAGGCCCCTCTTTTCCAGCATTTTTGACGCGGCGCATGCGCTTTAGCCTTGCTTTACGCTCTTCAATTGCGCTCACTCGCGCATCTTTCGCTCTTTGCGTCGCAGCTTTCGCTCGCCTTCCAAGCTGCTGCTACGGCTTCTGCTGCTGCTGCTGTTGCTGTTGCTGCGACTGTTAGACTTCCAGCTGCGAAAGCTTTGATTGCGTTGTCGCGTTGCTTCGCTCCGCTTGCCGCTGTCATTGCTGCTGCTATTTTGCTAGTGTTGCGCTAACTTTTGCTCTGTCGTTTTATAATCAACTCAAAATTTTACCTGTGTGCGTGTGTGTGTGCTTGTGTGCCTGTTTGCGTATGTGTTGTGTGCGCGAACCAGCGTGCGTATATCTAATGCTATTTTGCAATTAAACAATTCGCCAAACAAACGAATTTAATCAACAATCGAACAACAATTCCAATCACTGCCCGAGCGCTGTACGAATATTGAAAGCCAGCCAGCAGATGTGAAAAATGTGTATAAAAAGTTTTTTATTTTAAAATTCACGAGCAGCTTCCGTCGCGGCAGTAACTGCAATTTTCGCTCTGTATGTGTTTCTTGTGCCACTGCGTGTGTGGATGTGTGTGAGCGTGTACGTGTGTGTTGAGTAGCGCTCAAAAGTATGCAACGTGTGGAAAAATTCGCTTTATTGCAGTTTTGTTGAAATACCACCAACAAGAGGAACAGCAGCAGTCGCAGCAGCAGCAAAACACAATTGCCAACAACAACAATAAATTCTACGACAATAACAACGACAACAACAATAACAACCACAACAACATGAAATAAAAGAACGCAAGGCGCACGTTAAGCAAGTAAATGTCAATAAAACCCCAAAAAAAAATAAGAGAAAAAGAGAAGAAAAGGCTGGCATAATAAATAAAGCAAAACACAAGCACAGCATAGTCTAAATCTAACCTCTTTGTGCATGTGTATGTGTGTGTGTGCGTGTGGGTGTTTGTCCTGTGTCATTTTATGCCGAGCGAAGATTAAATGCTTTGTTAATCTCTCATAAGACACAAGCATCGCCTAAGCAGCTGCCCAAAATAAAAGCAACTCAAGCGATTTCTGTGCCACTCGAGCGTGTATATTTGTCATCATGCGCGTGGGCATGCATGTGAGTGTGTGTGTGTTTGTGTATGTGTAGTAATAATAATAAAGCTGGCAATCAAATTTGCTGCCAGATTGTCGCACGCTGCGTTTGCATTTGGCGTTTGTGATGAGCAGCACACGGCGTATACGTAATTTACGCACTTTACAGCCAAAGCCAAACAAAATTGCTTTTAAATTAGACTACAGCAAACATTAAACATAACAAATTCAATAACTATTTGCCACAGTTCGACTAAAAAACAGTTCAGTATAATAGAAAATTTAGAAATGTCGCTGCCAAATGCGATTAGCATCAAGTTTTTTCCCATTGCGGCACGTGCACTGCAATCGTATGTGTACATGTGTGGGTATGTGTGCTTATGTGAGTGTGTGTATGTGTCGATGTTGTGTTTTGATAAGCCAACAAAGTTTGTAGCTGCAATGAGGCCGGTGTTTGTATGGCTGCCTGCCTCTGGGACACGAAATCCGTGACTCTTGCCCAAGCGAATAGCCGTTGCCTGCTATATCCGAGCTCTGCAGTTAGTCTAACACTATTAGCTGCAGCTCAGCGGCTTTAAATCAATGACAAAATAAGTCATTTACCTGTTAAATCTGATAGCTGTACTATTTCGCTTTGCCCATTTGACCTGTTATCATAGAGAGGTGATTGTGAATGGAAAACTCTACATGAAAAGCTGAGATTCTTTGATATGCTACAAGGCACTGCATTTTATATATTTAAATATCATATTTTATTTATATTCAATATAATTAACTAGATGAAGGTTTAGTCTCTTCTGATGCTTCCCTTTCACTAATATTGCCCACAAGATATTTTACTTTATGTTTACTTTGTATTTACAACGCTCTCAACAGCGCTTTTCACACAAGTTCGTCTTAGTCAAAGTGTACTGTAAACAGAGAGCATGAGAGCGAGAGTGCGTGTGAGAGCGCAAACAAAGCTGCGAGTGCTGCTTAAATAATGTAAATCGTCTGCCACCTTAACAGAGTGTTAAAAGCTTTCCGCAGAGCTTTCGTGCGCACCTGCACTCTGTTAAGTAACCGCGGCTGGCAAGCACTTGAAGCCGCGTCGCCTCTTGTTTGGGGACTTAAAAGCTTTGCCTTGTCCACAGGAAGTGGCCAGGCGGTGGCAAGTGGCGCGAACATTGCTGTTAACGCTCTGACAAGCTGCTGTAATGGAAGCTTGTCTAAGTGGGTGGTGCAAGCGCCCACTTCGCTCACTGCCTCACTCACTCGGCTTCTCCCGCTCACCCTTACTGCTTTGCTCGCTGATTGCAAGCTGCTGAAATTTGTAACTAATTTACAAAATTTCGCTGCAATTTGTGTGCAGCTTATGAAGCCAGAAAAACTACGCAACAATTTGATGTTGGCCCTCTAATTAGGGTCCTTGTTAGACTTGATACCTGTCACGAGCTATTAACTCACAATTTTACACAGCCCGACAGCCGTAGAGTGGCAGCAGCTGAAATTTAAGCCCCGCTCGTGTAACGTTTATGTGGACTACTATTATGCTAATTGAGCGCAGGCAATGCGTAAGCCATTTATCTCAATCGCTTTAATAAGTGAATAATAATGCGCATATTTTAAATATTTATAAATACATAACTCACAATATTCTACAAGCTGTCTCTCTCTCTCTCTGTCTCCCTCTCCGAGTATAAAATATTGTGCAGTCAGCTTCTGGGCAGCGCACGATCAATCAAATTGATTAATTACCAAAAAACGTTTTAAATATGCGGCACAGGACATTAATTTATGTGGCAGAGGATTCAAAGAACAAAAAAAAAAAAAACACCCAACAAAAAAAAAAAAAAAAAAAAAAAAAAAAAAACCCCCAAAAAAAAAAAAAAAAAAAAAAAAGTTAAATAAAGCGCGAATTTTATTAGATTGAGAAATTCGGATAAGAGGCAAACCAAACTTTGGCACCTACGCTTACATATTTGGGGCTTAGGCCAGTTAGCTTGAGAGCCTTTTTATTTGTATACCCAGCATATATAGAGAGTGGGGTATATTGAGAGCACGCCTAACTGCAATTAACTCTTGATCAACATGCCTCAGCTTTATACTCTCTCATTAAATCACCTCTTTGGCCTCTGCTGAATCCTTAACAGCATCCTCAAGAAAGAAATTTCTTTCTT